CAGGTGCTATGATAGAAATATATAATGAGGGCATAAAGGACCAAAATCCAGTAGTCATAGACACTGTCATTTAAAAGTATAAAATCTAGTAAGCCCTACTATGTCAGTGAATTTCTGTTATGTTACATGTAAGAATTAAATGAGAGAATTGCTATATAGAAGGTGTAGATACTATTGTTACATGCTTTTATAGATTATGGAACAAAATTCAAAGTCATACAGTCAGTTTTCATAATGTTAATAGAATCTAAGCATTCTTCAACCCCAGTGACAGTGTTACTAACTTGGCATTTTTGTTTTGGAGGATAGCTTTATCCTAAGTAGCCAGTGGCATGGTAGCATTTGGTGATGGAGACATCAGTATTTCCAGTTAAATTATCGTAGAATAATATAGTTTCTCAGAAATGGAAGTTGCTTATTTTTAAAGGAGTCTTTTTTTTTTTTTTTAATGATTCAAGTCCCCACATTTATAGAGTTGCATAGGAAAGCAAATGGTATCACAAACCAGAAGTACTCACTGGTCAACCAACCACTTATATTGATTCCCAGTACCTTTGTGTGCCTGCCTATCCACACTATCAGTTTTGCTTTGAGGTTCTCTATACAGCTGCTCAGGTCCTTCTATGAATGCCTCTGAGCCAGGCTGGATTGGAAATTAGCTGTTGAAGGAGGTCAATATTGACGTCTTCTAGAGGTTAATTGGCATCACTACTGTGTAGGGACCAAGAGGCAGTGCTGAATATATATGAGAATGATATTGGGGGACTAAGGAGAAGAATTTACTTGGGGTTTTGCGTAGAAAAAACAAACTGCTTACTTCTTCTGCTATACTCTCACAACAACACATGCTTCTGTGATCAGATGTATAGGAGATTTTCTCCACACACCAAACCAGCAATTCCCCAGCTGGGTGTCCTCTAATGTAATTCAGTTCTTGGCAGTATTTACCTAGAGGTAGTGTCACAGCCCATAGTGTGAGGCCTCAGTCCCACAAGACTACCTCCCCCTGCCACCTCTCCACTCACCTGTGTGCACACACACACACACACACACACACGATACACACACATACATACACACTTTTTAAGATTCCAGTTAGAAGCCCCAGGTTGTTTTACGTGTGCTTCTGACAGACCAGCTATAAATCAGGATTCCCAAAAACTCCCTCCTTTGGGCCCAGCTAATTTGCTAGAGTGGCTCGCAGAACTTAGGGAAATACTTTACTTACATTTACCAGTTTATTACAAAGGCTATTAGGAAGGAGATAGATGAACAGCCAGATGGAAAAGATGCATAGGTCCAAGTATGAGAGAAGAGGTGAGGAGCTTCCATATATATTCTCACCCTGTGAGTCACCCTCCACTGACTTCCATGTGTCCAGCTACCTGGAAGCCCATCAACACCCAGTCCTTTTGGGATTTTTATAGAGACTTCACTATAAAGGCACAATTGATTAAATCATTGGCTACCCATAACCAATGTAACTATCAGCCAGCCCCTCCGGTATCCTTAGAGGTTAGGGGTTGTGGCTGAAAGTTTCCACCTTCTCATCATGCCTTGGTCTTTACTGTGACTAGCCCACACCAGAAGCTATCCTTGAGCCCCCAGCCATCAGTCAACTCATTACTATGCACAAAGACACTTAGCACTTTGGAGATCATATGGCTATCAGAAGCTATTTGTCAGGAAATGGGAAAACCAAATATATATTTTACAATATCACAGATGTCTTTGAAGAAATGTTACTTCAGGAGTATGTAATATTTACTCATTAAAAAAAAGAGCATATTAAGTGTGTTTAGGTGGCTTCTGCACTCCAGGCACCTTTTATGTATTATTAATGTAATACCCTTAACTGTGAGAGGTGGGTAGCAGGATTTTCCTGTTCACTGACTAAGGCTCAGAGAGCCATATTGAATAGACTATTCCAGAGCCTGTGTGAACACTACTGTAATATTTAGCCTGGCACTTTTTTGGTCATAATTTGTCCACTGTGTCTGAATTCTGTTTTCCTGAAGTTATCCCACTTGAGCCTTTCTATTTCATATTCTTCTAGTGTATCATAGTCAGAGTTCTGATTTCCACATGCTGTAGCAGAATAGTGGATAACTTTCTCCTTTATGTGCTAGAATTAATTTATTGCTACTGATAATAGTATTTATTGAATATTTCCTAGGTGATGAACACTGTGAAGGCCCTATACATACAATTGGGAAAAAGAACTGCAATATAGAATTAAATTTAAAGGAATAACATATTGCTTAGACTTGCCAATTGTTGGAGATTTTCTGTGATATGCTCATCCCTCTTATTTCTTTTGGGAAAGAGGAAGATGGGAAGAGGTCAAAAACAGATTAGTTTTAGGACCCAAGTGGGTTTATTGGAAGGAATCAGAAGCTAGGATGGGAGGAACTAAAGGAATGCCTTAAGTAAAGAGGGTATAAGTAGGCTTGCTTTCTTATTTAACCTGTGTGAAAACCTACTTTTATTAAACCAGCAATATAAGTACTTTAATAGGATCATATTTAAGCTGTTTGGCTTTGATAGCAGAACTTGATATGGATATTATCAAGTTCTTGATAGCTTTATATTTGATGTCAATGACAAGTTAGGTAAGGTACAGTACTTTAGTGCCCTCTGCTAATTAATTAGAAGTAAAATGAACTGGGCACTTCCTGAGCAGTAGGTAAAAGGATCTAGAGTGAGAAAGAATGACTAGAAAATAGTCTGATACAACATGAAGGACTATGTTCAGGTGCCTGCAGCTGAACTTGAAAAGCCTTATGAATTTACTTCAACAAGGGAGTCAACTACATTTCTATACTTAAGTAGGTCCAATGATTTTATTTTACTAGTTCTTGTGATATTTATAAGTACAGTATCCTTATTTATTTAAAAGCCTATATAGTAATTTCTTTTGTGATTAATTTTGACCTTATATTGTCTTTGATATAATTTTATATAAACCTAAAAGTTTAAATGAGAAATTTTAACCTATATACCTTCTTTATTGTGGGTAGTTTTTTATTTATAGTAAGTAGTCAAGAAGGAGTTTTTGTTTTGTGCTGGGCCTTTCTGAGAAACTCGCTGTGATCATTTATTTTCCTATATGGCAGTGCATCCCTCATCTGTTAGGCATACACATTTCTGCAATTACGTTCATTGGTCGTGATTTATAGAAAGCTAAAATATTTAAAGTAATTTAGAAATTTGCTGGTACTTGAGTTTAGTGTGGCAGTTACTCTCTGAAGTCCTCAGGTCTGAGTTGGAATTGCAGTTCCTCAGATCCTCCCCAGCTGGGTGTTGCTGGACAAAATTGGCCTCTCTAAGCTGGTCTCCTCATTTATCCAATGGGGATGATAGTAACCTCAGAGAGGTGCCATAGGAGTGAGTGAGTGAATAATGCTGTAACATCCTTAGTACAGTGCTGCACACTCATCTTCAGAAAATGGTAATTGTTACACCTGCTACTGAGATAGTTATGGTTGGGAACCATAGGTAAAATGTATTGTGATTTTTAAATGATTGCTTTACAGAAAAGGTTTTTACACTATTGGGAATACTATCTTAAGGTCACCTGATCATCATCTGCTTATGCTGATTGTTGTAATACTCCTCTTACTGCATTACTAATAATAGCTACCATTTTTATTGAGTGCTTACTTACTAAGATCTTTATATACAATTTTATTTAATTCCCACAATTATTATGAAGCAGGCATTATGACATCTATTTTTACTGATCGGGAAACTTAAGTATAGTGAGACAAAATAACCCACCCAGCCCAGCTGGACAGTGGGAAGACTGATTCCCTACAGATCTAGGTCCAAAGCCCACGTTCTTTAACCCCGTGGCTACTCACTAGACACTTTGCCATTTGCTTTTCTGTCTCTCTTGGGAAACCTAAGTTTCCTAAAGGGGGAACTGGACATTGTTTGCATTCCAAGGTTACATTTATTTTTCAAGTGTTTTTAAACTAAAAGTAGTGTATAGTGTATAACATCAGAAATTGTTAATGTAAGTGAAACTTAATAGCTTATAAAGAACCTTTCTTACTGAAAATAACGAAGTTTCCCATTCTAACAGAAAACTTGAAGCATTAGGACTTGTTTTTCAGACGTATTGCCAGCCTCTGCCATGGTAACAATTTGAATTTCCTATATTCGTCTTTGCATTAGTGTACACTAAGTACTCACTTAATCTTCTTTTCAGGTTATAAGCCTCTTTCATCATTGCAATACAGGACCTGGCTCAGTGCTTGTGTGCTTAATACATATTTGATTTTAATTTATTTCAGTGTCAGTATTAATGTTGATCTGAAGTATTTTCGGATTATTTCAGTTGCTTGGGATTTATCAGTGAGCAAAACAATGATCCCTGCCTTCGTTGGTCCTGGTGAGCGGCCACAGTTGAGGACCAGTAAACACAACAGAAAGTTTATTTAATGTGTTAGGTGATAAGTGCTGTGGGAAAAAGAAGGTAGAGCAGGGTAAAGGTAGTCAGAGAGGCTTAGATGAAGAACTGAAGAAGGTAACATAGTTAGTATAGCTGTTAGTAGATATTTGGAGATTCCCAGGCAGAGGGAACAGTGAGACCTAAGATCCAAAGGAGGGGGCCTAGCTGGTTAGAATCAGTGGGGAGACCACTGCGGCTGGAGTGGAGTGGACTGTGACAGGTGGATGGGGGTATGCCAGAATTATGGGAGATGAGATCAGAAATGAGGAAAAGGGGACATGGATTATGTTTTCGCTTTGTCAGATGAATTTGGTAGGATGTGTATGCATATTACACAAAAATTCTTAGAAGCTGTGTGTTTTTGGAGTAAGGATCAGAAATTTAACTTTTTCTTTTCTCAATCACAGATTACATTTGTATGTCTTTATTTGTGGCAGTTTGAACTTGTATTTTATATAGCCCATTAATATTCAGAAACTCGAATTTCCAGGTCAGTTTACAATATTAATAATCTCTATACTTCTTGATTTCCTTTTTTTAACAGGAGTATGCTGCTGCTGTTCTGCTTTGCGTCCTCGCTACAAACGCCTGGTGGACAACATATTCCCTGAAGATCCAAAAGTAATTTGATCTACATCTACTGATCCTTCTCTTTGCTGACCCATTCTGCCCCCCGCTGACCTCCCTAAGGTTTCCCTAATTTCATTTCTCTACTTTTACCTCTATATCTCATCATTTATACTACTTTTTTATGCTTTTCTTTTTTTAACTCTTAAATAACCCATGCTTGCTTATCTAGTTTTCAGTTTCTTTTAGTAGATTAGGCACAAATCTGGAAAAATGGACAGTTGATGTTCTTTTATAGTTTATATAGTATCTAATTTAAGTACCACTGTCTTATTAAAAATTTATGAACGAGTACCAGATTATTTAAACTAAGTGCTCGTGATACCACTGTGAACAGAGATAAAGTTTTCTACTCTCACTATGCACATATATAAGTCAATTGGTAATTACAATCTGTTGTGAAAAAAAACATTGTAATAGACAAATGAAGTGTGAGTCACTCCTGAAGTAAGTAGGAGTGATACCCAGTTCTGGCTGAGGAGAAGAAAGACTGGAGGAAAAATCTAACCTAAGATCCAAAGAATAAATAGACGTTGACCACACAGGTTTTAGAAGAGAACTGAGAGGTAGAGAAAGACTGTTTCAGGCAGAGTTTTTCTTTTTACTTAAATACTATTTAATTTTTATAACAATTATTTATTTGTTATAAAATTTGTTATATAAAGACTAGTGTTTCAAAGCAACTGGTTGGGGTGATTTTGTTTCACATTGCCTCAACCTTTCTAAGACTTCTGTAGTCTCATGTTAAATGAATGTAAACAAAAAAGTTTATATGGCTTTTTACTTCCAAAATTTGCTTTCTTTTGAAATGTAACAGACTACATAAAGCTTTTGGTTATCTTAACATTAACTTAATGTTAATATATCTCATTTTTAACCAAATCTATTTAAACATTCAGTTATGTAGAAGAGATTAATCAATTAAATGTTATTGGCTGCATGTTTTCCTGGATAATTTATGGCATATAAAAAACTCCTAAGATATGGTACTTACCTTTAAGGACCTTTCAATCCAGTAACTGACATAAAGCAGAAACATATTAAATATGAAATTAGAGTGCACACATTAGTAAGTAAAATGCAAAGTAAATCAGGTGGAAAGTTTTTGTCTCTAAAGCAGGGAGGTATCACTGTGGGTTGGCAATCTCTGGGAAGCATTCGCAGAGAAAATGAGATTTGCTGAGCTTTGAAGGATATATACCATCTGGAGAGGCAGACAAGATTAGTCTCTTTATTGCAAATGAGGGGAAAGAGAAAAGACTTGGAAAGCAAGACATATATTTGAAGTCTAGAGCAAGTTATCCATTGACTGTAGGCGAAGGTTTTTCTAACCTAATTGTAGAGTGTAAGTGAGATAATTGTGTTGACATGATTTCTCATTTGAAATTTTAGATGTTATTAGTTAATAGGCTGAATATTCAAATAATTATTTTCCTGAGAAGTCTGGGACATGTGGTTACTGAAGGTAAGGTGGAGGCCAGATTTTAGAGAATTGGGAATGGCAGACAAGACCTCTACTTTAGCCACTTTAACTTGTAGGCAGTGAGGGAGATTTGGACACTTGATCATTTGAATGACCCAGGTAAATTAAAGAAAGAATCCTTATTTTTGCCAAGAATTAATATAAGATTTATTTAAATAGCGATCTTTAAGATCAGATTTTAAAAAAGGAAAAGATCTATATGAACCTTGAATACATATCACAAACATTACTCAATTTGCCATATTTATTATTTTTAATTTATTAAAACAAACAAATCTTGTGATATGTCCATAATGGGTTAGACAATAGGTACCCAAATGCAGAAGCAAACATGTCATAGCCCCTGCCTTGAAAGAAAAATCTATTGAGGGGACAGATAAATAATTGCTTAAAATTAGTAGCTGGATAATCTTGGGCAAGTGCCTTGGTTTCTCATTGTGTAATGGAGTAATAAATAGTACCAGTCTCATAAGGGTCTCATGAGGACCAATTGAGTTAATGCAGTTCTTTGCTCACTGTTACTTTCCTAATGTCTATCATAGTGCCTGGCTCACAGTTGGCACTCAGTATTTGTTTAATCAATGAAAAGATAACCTGATAAAATATAATAGTGGAGATAAGTACTGTGAGCTAAAAGAACATATAATGGGAACATCTCATCCAATCTTGGTGGTGGAGCTTTTGGGAGGGTGCAACACATTTTTGAAGGAAGCTAAGACCTAAAGGATGAGTAGGAATTATCCAGGTGAACTGAGAAGGGTTCCTGGGCAAAGAGGTGAGTTGAGTGAAAGAAGTCTTGCACAACAGATATGATTTCTGAACTGTGTGATTCTATTTATGTCAGATGCATGCTGATTCATAGTGATTAGCAGAGCAGTGATTGCCTGAAGAGGGTGAGAGAGAGACTGCAAAGGACATGGGAAATCTTTTGTAAACGATGAAAATGTTCTATACATGTTGAACATCCCTAATCCAAAAATCTGAAATCTGAAATGCTCCAAAATTGAAAACTTTTTGAGCACTGACAGGACACTCAAAGGAAATGCTCCCTGGAGCATTTTGGATTTTGAATTTTTGGATTAGGGATATTGAACTGGTTAATATCTGCAAATATTCCAAAATCTAAGAAATAATCCACAGTTGAAAAACTTCTGATCCCAAGCATTTTGGATGAGGTATCCTCAATCGGTATCTTATTTGTAGTAGTGTCTTCACAGATGTACACAACTGTCATATTTCCAATTATATACTGTATATCAATGCAGTTACTTATATATAGATTATTCCTCAATAAAAATTAGTAAGGGGTTAAAAATATAGGTGAGACACAATTATATTTAAATGATGATGTAGAGGAACTGATAGACAGGTAGAGGTCAAGGAACTAGGAATAAGAGAGGTTAACTGATGAAGCCAGATTCTGGGACTGTATGCAGAAGACAGAGCAGAGGCAAACCAGTTCCTCCTGGACAGGAAAACTGGATTTCTTCAGTTTGCCTAGGGCAGGGTTTCTCAACTTAGGTTCAGTTGACATTTTTGTTCAGATAATTATTTGCTTTTGGGGGCTATTGTGTGCATTGTAAAATATTTAGAAACAACCCTGGCCTCTACCTGTAGATCCCAGTACCCACCTCTCCCCATCTATGACAACCCATAATGCCTTTAGACATTGCCCTGGAGGGGTTCAGTTACCTCTGGTTAAGATACACTGACCTAACAGGCAGTGAGAAAGCAGGGATGTTTTGCCAATTAATGCTAATCTGATGGCTTCCACCTTCTCTGAGAAAGAGAAGAGCTCATTTGCTGTCAGAGAGAGGAGAGAAGCCCCAAAGTAGCAAGTTTGAGGAAAACGGAGTAGGTGGAAAATATGAGGGGGTGACTCAACTAGGGACACAACAAAATAGCCAAAGGACATTGAGGGACCAGTTGAGGAAGAAAACATAAATTTACACAGTTTTTGTTGTAGATTCACCATCTAACAGTTTTTTTCTCTCTCTCCCTTCTCACCTATTCCAATATTCCTAAGCACACTTACATGGGTTATATATGGCCAAGAAATTTATGTGGTAACTGGGGAGAATTTGTGGACCTGTTGCACATCATCTTTTAGATGGCAGAGACAAGTGACTGTTTTATAATCCCACATCAGGGACCTGTTGTTGCTTTTAAAATATATCGAATGAGCATAGATTCTACAGTTCTGAACACTTTCTTGTTTATAAATTACAACAAAATCTTAAAATGACATCACTGAGTTCTGAATCATTAAAAAAAGCAATATGTTGACTATTTTATAAGTAAATGAGTAAAACGGGCGTAATAGTAATTCAAGTTTTTACACTGAAACAAATTTTGTTTGAAATCTTTTTACATCTATATCCCATTTCATACATCTGCAGATAATTGAGCTGTCTCTATAAAAGAAGATGTTAGAGTCTAATTGATTTTTGTGCTTTGCATAAAGGGTGCATTCTAAACTTTTTAAAAGTTCTATGTATCCATCCTGGTGAATATTAGCACTAACGAGGTTATATACAGAAGATTCTACATAAATATGATTTAATCCCTAATCCAAAAAGGGAAAATGTAAAGCAGGCAACACTTAAAAATATAAGCATGAAAATATAGATAATCTATTTATCTTGTTATTCTTATTATTTTTAGGATGGCCTTGTGAAAGCTGATATGGAGAAATTAACATTTTATGCAGTATCTGCCCCAGAGAAACTGGATCGAATCGGTTCTTACCTGGCAGAAAGGTTGAGCCGGGATGTTGTCAGACATCGTTCTGGGTAAGGAAACTAATGGCTGCTAAAATAGTGTCTTTGGAAAATTCTTTCTAGACTAAATCTATAGATTATTTTGCCATTTAGAGAGAAAAAGATAATATATAGCAGATAAAGTATTATAATATACAAATAAATGTATGATACTCCTATAGATGTTGTGCCTTTTATTACTTTTCTGGTGGTCAGATTTTGTGAATAGACTAACGTTAGTTAAATGAGTTACCTTTAGCTTGCTTCTCAGTGCAACACAGTAACTTAAAAATCAGTCTCTGAATTGAAAACAAACAGAAAGATCCTGTAAAGCAGATGATTTTTTTCACGTAGCTTTAGTTTTACCTCTCAGAGGAGTAGTAAGAGAGAACCATGCTAGACTTAGATATCAAGGTTCAGAAAATCCCAGCATGCTAATTTGAAACTGTTACTAGCTGTACTTCTACTGGTAAGTAGAAGTCTACCATCCTACTATATTCTCTGTGCTAGAGCAATAATAACTTTGCAATTTGGATTATAAATACTTTCTTATTCCGTTATTTTATGATGCAAGTTTATTAGAGTATTCTCCAGGTGATGTATTAGCTTTCTGTATTTCCGCATGGTTATCACTTAGAATGTTTTAGTAAGTCTGGCAGAGATAGCTTTATAGTTGATTGTTGAATGACAGTTACCTAAAGACTAAATTTTAATTTTTTTTTTTAGATTTGCCCTTAAAAATGTGAGGATTTGTTACATGTACAGAATGTGTAAATATCAAGTCAGGGTATTTGGGCTATCCATCACCCCACATTATTTGTCCGTTATTTGTCCTTTCTTGTGTCGGGAACATTTCAAGTCCTTTTCTAGCTACTTTGAGGTGTGTAGTACATTGTTGCTAACTTTAGTCACTCTACTGTGCTGTTGAACATTAGAACTTATTTCTATTATCTAATTTTGTAAGTTTGTATTCACTAACCAACCTCTCTTCATCCCTCCATACCCCACCCCACCAGCCCCTATCCAGCCCCACTTGCCCTTCCTAGCCTCTGGTATCTGTCTGAATTTTAACTACAAAATGTAAAATCTGATGAATTGTAAATTAATATTTATGAGACTTTGAAAATAATATTCTGTTGCTGATAGTGTTTTATCTACTCATTTTTACACATATAAGTAGATTATATTGGAAATTGTCACATTACTAATTATTTCGGGTTAGGTACAAGTAAATATGGTTAAAAGTCTGGAAAATATAAAATGCCTGTATTTACAAAGAAAAATACACAAAGTTAATGTTAAAGAAGCTTAGATAGTTAAAGAGAAAATGGAGGAATACAGAGTATATTTTCTGTATACTTCAATATAAGGATTATTTTATAACCTACAAGATCATTAGTGCTATGTGAGAATTAAGACATTACTTAAGAGTTACTAAATTTGCGTTTCTTTCTTTGGTGTATTTTAATAGACTTATGTCAGTGTTTTCAATGGAAAGCACTTAGGAGAATTAAGAGAGGTAGAAATGCTTTAACGTTTTCTTTCTCCGACATGTAGGTATGTTTTGATTGCTATGGAGGCACTGGACCAACTTCTTATGGCTTGCCATTCTCAAAGCATTAAGCCATTTGTAGAAAGCTTTCTTCATATGGTGGCAAAGCTGCTGGAATCAGGAGAACCAAAGCTTCAAGTTCTTGGAACAAATTCTGTGAGTAAAACTGTAATGTTACTAATTTTGTTTAATTAGAATATCTAGAATTAATTGCTTCTTATAATGTCTTTACCTGGTAAAGGCAAATTTCCTGAATTCAACAGTCAACACAAATTAAGATAATTAGAATTATTTGTCTCTCGCTTTTTCTGTTGTTTCTTGTGAAATCTGTGGTATTAACTGATCGTAATAGAATATTTGCCTGTAAATGAATGCACACCTGTCATTTTTATTTTCTCTTGGTCATTCATTTGTTGCAACATTAACTTTGTGTCCTACACTTCCTTTGAGTTTCATGCCTTTTCATTATTACAGTTGTTACCATTTTTATGGCTATATGAATAATGCTGCTATGAAGATTGGTGTACAGGTTTTTGTGTGGATGTGTTTTTCATTCTCTTGGGTATATACTTAGTAGTGTAGTATATACAATTAATAGTGTATAAATACTTAGTAGTATATATACTTAGTAGTGTATATACACTTAATAGTATATAAACACTTAATTAATAATGTCTATACTTAGTAGTGTAAGTTACTGTGTTTAACTGTTTTCTAAAATGGTTGCATCATTTTACATTCCCATCACCAGCATATGAGTGTTGTTTCTCCATATCCACATCAGTACTTTCTTTTACCATCCTAGAGGGTCTGAAGTGGTATCTCAATGTGGTTTTGATTTTGATTTCCCTAATGACTAATGGTAAAGCTTTGCATGTGCTCACTGACTGTTGTGTATATTTTCTTTGGAGAAGTGTCTGTTCAAATCCTTTCCCCCATTTTTCAATTGTCTTTTGATTGTTGAATTGTAAAAGTTCTTTACATATTCTTAATAAGAATCCTTTATCAGATATATGATTTGCAGATATCTTCTCCAATTCTGTGGTTTTGTCTTTTCACTTTCTTCCTGGTATGCTTTGAGTCACTAAAGCGTTGATTTTGATGAAGTCCACTTGCTTTTTTTTTCCTTTTATTGTTGGTGTGTGGGGGTGTGTATGTATGTGGGGGGTTGGGGGTGGTGGATGGGTGTGATTTTAGTTTCATATCTAAGAAACTATTGCCTAATCTAAGATCACAAAGGTATACTCTAATAGTTTATTCTAAGAGTTCTACAGTTTAGGTTTGTATTTAGTAAGCCATTTTGAGTTAGCTTTTGTATGTGATGTGAATTCAGCATTCAGCTTTATCCACATTTTGCATGTGTATATTTAACTATGCCATACTATTCGTTGAAAAGCCCAATCTTTCCCCTTGAATGGTCTTGGCACCCTTTTAAAAATAAATTTACCATTAACATTAAGGGTTTGTATCTTTATTCTTTCTTAGACTACTTCTGAACTATTTCTGCTCACCACATTTATTTTCTTCTATCTTGAGCCATAGTTCATTAAAATAAGGTTGGGGAAAGCATACCTAATTCAAAAAGAAAATACAGTGACATTATTTCTTTCCTTGTCTAGTTTCATTGTATCACCTTCAGTCTTTCAGTTCTCACTTCTTCTCTGAGAAGGTTTAAGGCATTCAACCTACATGAATACTGTATGTTTCCATTCAGATTTTTAATCAAAAAATAAAATAATCATATATTACCTGCTATTGTTTATAGATAATCATTTTCCGGTGTAGGAAGAGGAAGTATACGAGGGGCTGACAGTATGGATTCCAGACTCCGACCACCCCAGTTTGAATTACACCTATACTGCTTGCCAGCTATATATCTTGAGCAAGTTATTTATTCTCTCCTTGCCTCAATTTTTCATCTCTGAGAAGAGGATAATGAGAATACCAGTCTCACAGGATTGTTGTGTGACATGAGTTAATATATATGAAGCTCTTGGAACAGTGCATGGCACTGTTAGTTATTACTGGTAGCAAGAGTGTTAAATAAAGCCCTCATTCAAACTCTTAATATTATTTTTATCACTTATTTCAGCAGGAAAATATTGGGTATTTCCAAATGCATTTAGATGATGTGACAAGCCTAGTTTCAGGCAAGGTAGCTACTGAGGCTTCTCCTGTTCTGTTTATGTTAGGTGAGGAAAGTTTAGGGGAAAAGCTTTACAGCTAGAGGGAGAATTTTAGTATGCATTTCCAAAAGTTTCTTTACTTACAGCCAGCAATGCCTTTAGATTGCTTTAATAAGTTATTTGGGCAAAAGACCAAATTCCCCAGTTATCTACTTTAATTTGAGTGAACTTCATTAAATGAAATGCCATATTATCTATATTATCTTGACCAATAATAATTACCTAGTATTTCCTTGCAGTCTAATTTTCTTAGTGGTGCTGAGTGCCCCATGTTATCAAACATGACCAGTACTGATTTAAGATTTATAAATGGTCTTTCTATGGTTTAATTTGTTGACGTTTTCCTCTTCATGTTAATGTCAACTCAATATGACAGTAATAGAGGCAATGTATTTTGGTTTTCCTTTGTTTCAGAAATTGTGCTAGATATTTTTTATTTTTACCTCTTTTTTATTGTCAACTGTTTCAAATACAGAAAAGTACGGAGCATAATATAGCTGTATACCCACTGATTCAGGAAAGAAAAGTGTTAATATCAATAAATGATAATACATAATTTTGTTATGAAAATAATACGTAATGGTAATAAACATCAATACTGTAACATTAGTTTATGTCTTTTTAAAGACATAATACAGTATTTGCTAGATATTTTATATATATTGTGTCATGATTCTCACAAAAACCATTCAAGCTTAGAAATATTATTTTCATTTTATAGATTAGGAATTGCAGCTAAATAACTTGTCCAAAGACACAGTGAAGTAATGCTGTGGGATTCAGTCTTAGGCCTTTCTTACTTCAAAGCTTGTGTTCTTTGTACAATGATAAATACACTGTCATTATTGTGGATTAAGATTTAGGGAAAGCACAGATTACATTTCTTCTGTTCTCCTCCTCTTGATTTCTAAAAGTTCATTATTAAAAAGTTTCTTTTGGGTTAGGTGCTGTGGTTCATGCCTGTAATCTGGGTGCTTTGGGAGGCCAAAGCAGGAGGATCATTTGAGGCCAGGAGTTCAAGAGCAGCCTGGGCAACATAGCGAGACTCCTATTCCTACAAAAATTAAATTAAATAAAAAAATTAGCCAGGTTTGGTGGTGCATGCCTGTAGTCCTGGCTACTTGGGAGGCTGAGGTGCGAGGATCACTTGAGCCCAGGAATTTGAGGCTTAGTAAGCTATGATTGCACCACTGCACTCCAGCCTGGGTGACAGAGCAAGACCCTATCTCATGAAAAGAAAGCTTTTGTATAAATGTCATATTTGATATTTTGCTTGTTTCTTATTTTCATGTTGCTTTTTAATATAACAATGTATGAAAGTAAATGTATTTGGTGTACACTTTCAAGAAGGTGATATATGTTGTTTATATTGTTTTTGTTTTTTAGTTTGTCAAATTTGCAAATATTGAAGAAGACACACCATCCTATCACAGACGTTATGACTTTTTTGTGTCTCGATTCAGTGCCATGTGTCATTCCTGTCATAGTGATCCAGAAATACGAACGGAGTATGTATTATTTTACTTTATAATCTAGTTCTGTAGTAAGTAATTTAGAGATGAATACTGTGCTTATATGTTACATAATGATTACCAGAGGAAACCAGAATATGGCTGAAATATGGCTTCCCATTGCTGTTAGAAGTTATAATTACTGACTGAAGTAGCAAAAGGAGAATGGGTTATCCAGCTCACTAAAATACAGTCTTTATTGTAGCCTAGAATGTCCGTTCATGCTCCGCTTATTGTGTCATATCCTGTACTTCTACCATTTCTTCCTGCTTTCACTCTAATCCAGCCACATGGATCTCCTTGCCATTTCTTGAACATTTTAGTCTCACTTCTCTTCAGGCCCTTTGGACACATTGGTCTTTCTGCACAGAACAATTCCCTAGGTGCCCACATGGCTTGTTACCTCACTTTGTTCATATTTCTGCTCAAATGTCACCTTATCACAAAGCCCTCCCCAGCCACCCTTCATTAAATGTCAGCCCTCTCATTCCACCCCCAGTTATCTTTATCTTCTTATCATATATCTTTTTGTCTGTTTCTCCCTCCTCTATGGAATATAAATTCCAGGAGGGTGAGGACTTGGTTTTGAGGACTACTTGCTGTATTGGTAATACTTTGAATAGTGCCTGGTACATTTAGTCAGTTAGTTAACTGAGTGAAAAATTAGATAATTTTGTGTGTGTGAAAAGTAGCTAAATTGAATGAATATATACTACTGAATCATTGTTTATCTGAGGTTGTCATGACAACTGTCTAGGACGTTTCTAAACATTTTTTCTAGATGTATCCTAAAAATCTGGAATCGAATACTTCATAAACTCAGTCTATAGGTTGGTAGAATGAGAAATACAGAAATGAGAAACTTTAAAATTAAGAATTAAAGTCAAAATGACTTTGGTAAATATAGAAAGTAATTTGAGCATTATTATCTTACACCTAAAAAACGAGAAATCAACCAGAATTTAGAATTACTGTGGGCAGCTAATAATCAAGATATAGCATGCTTTATAATTTTTACTTTTCTTTTAAAATAAATAAAGGAATATACAAAGTCTAACTAGCTTTTAGTTGAAGTATGCAGGCTACACTGCTGGTTTACATGAAATAAAAACAAGTATAAATGTCATTTTAATTTGGAGAAAGAAAGATTAATGGTGACTTAATAGTTAATTTCAGGTATAAGATTTGTTTTTGTCTGTGATGCTATTAGTATAATTTTTGCTCAGTAGAGTACAGGCCATTTAAAGTCCTGCTATTATTCCTTTATTATGAAATATAAAGCCTCTCAGAGGTAAAAAAGAAAAAAAAATACTATAATTACTTTACAATGATTAATTTTCTGTTTGTCTCCATCACCAGGAAAATTCTCTTTTCTTTCTCTAAACGACATTTAAAAAATTTTTTATGAGATTGTTCTCTCTCTTCAAAGGCTGATAATAAGTTTTTAATGGGGCAAAAAGAGATAAAGATTAAAGAAAATGGCAATTTTTTCGAGATTTTAACATTTTTGCTGTCTGTCAAAATATAGAAAAATGTAGTGTGTTTTTCTAAGTATCATCCCCTAGTGAAATATCTTGTCTTTTGAATATATTTTTACCTGTTTTTTATTACTGCTTCCAAACAGAAATGTTGAAATATTCTATATCCAGATGAAAGGACTTATAGTACATTTTGCTAATTCTAGGCCTTTCCAATATTATATCATATTTGAAGATCCATAATGCCAACATTTCATTTGAATTCCTGTACAACAAATGAGTAAATTAAAATGCTATTTAGTATAAAATACTTAGTTTGATTATTTTTGCTTTACCTTAAATATAAGCCCTTTGATTTTCTTTAAGTGTGTTTATATTCTCTTTTATGTTCTAACTTAGATACATCATCAATCCCTTTAGTTTTTACCAAATTCTTATCAAATAGAACTCCAGGGGACATGGACAGTAGGAGATGGGGTTGATAAACATTTGGATTTTCTTAAAATGAAAGAAGAACTGGTTCTTGCTTGTAGAGTCATACATCACAGTTTTAATTTCTAACTCTAATTTTCTGAAGAAACTTCAGCTATGGTAGCAAGTACCACCTCCTCCCCCCCTCCCCCCTCCCTCCTCCCTCCTCCCTCCTCCCTCCTCCCTTCCTCATCATGGTTAGCAACAAACAGGAACTGCTAACACTTACTGAGTGCTTACTGTGTTCCAGTTATTGTTAACCACTTTACATGAGTTAACCCATTTAAACTGTTCAACATTTCTTTGCTGTAGATGTGACAGTTTTTCTTTTTCACTGATGGGGAAAATGTAAAATTCCTTTTGAGGGGGTCATGGCTAGAATGTGCTGATTAGGCTAGATGTTAGATCTGGATTGGATGAAGCTGTGTAGCTATAGTAGCTATTGATAGTTACCACCCAATACTGCCCCTTAACCTTAAACAAAGACACCAGTATCTGCTGCTGCTCCATTTAGGCTGCTGACTCACAAGGCATGATACAGGTTTCATCTTGTTTGTGCATGTGCTTCGTGCCACGTTGTGCTTGGCCTTCTCATCACCCAAGGTGTAGCAGCAGGTATGTAAAGCAGGAACCTTTTGTAAGAATGTTAGGCTTGCCCACTGTGATAGCTGCTCGAGAGTCTCTCAAGACTCATTTATGTTTTAAAGAGCAGCATATATAGATACGGCTTTGAAATAGGCAAAATTTACCTTTATGTCTTCCAATTCATTTTTCTCACCTGTTCAGTATCGTATTGCTGCCACTTTCCATTCTCCATCTGCTACTCCTGGATGCTTGCATTATTTTGCCATGGGTATGTAAAGCAATGTCACCTCCCTCCCCATATCTTCTAATCTTTAAACCTATTTACAGTTTTTGGAAGACAGTGCTAGGTAAACTGAATAAACCTCTAATTGGTGAGTATTTCAGAGAGTAGAAAGAAAGGAAGTAAATAACAATCATATTTGACTGTTTTGAGACTCATTGAGCCACCAAGTTAGCTCTTCTTGAGACCTTTGTTCTTTTGCAGTTTTTAGAAACTGTTTTCTGGTCACTTTTCTTCTCATTCTTGAACATACAGATTTTTATTTTTTTTTTTTGCTTTTTTAAAGAAGAGTGAGGAAGAGCTTGAGGAAGTTTGATGCTATAATCTGGGAGGGGAGGATAAGGCAGCATTCTCTCACTACTATATTGATACATTTTAAGTCACATTATCAGATTATTACATGATAATGTATATTTGTATATATACGGCTGAGATTATCTGTGCTCCATTTCAATAGTTCTTGTTTGTAATACCTTTTAAAAGAACCAGCTTAGTCTTCTATCTAGGTAGACTAAGGGAGTTGAAGGGCTGTTAGGGAAGAACAGTGAAAGAAGTCTGACGAAGCATGAAGGGTGTTCAGAACAGTGAAATCCTGTTTTTACTCAGCTCTTAAGACTTCTAGGTAATGGAGTATTGTTATCATTTTAAGAAAACCTACACTGTTGATTATTTAAAATTGAAAAATAGGTATTTTTGTATTTTATAGTCCCTTTAACTTTTAAAATGCTGATTTTAGAAACATAATATTTAAAGTAAGACTTTTTGGGGCACATCTCTGTATCTTAAATTGTTGAGGTTTTACTTTCTTAGACTTGTGTGTTATTTTAAGATATTTTATTGTTAATATAACAGTATTGATACTCATTTTCTTAGCTAGGCAAACAGACTTGTTTAAATTACTTTTTTTATGGCTCATTTTCCTCCTCTTTTTTTTTTTTTAATAGGATACGAATTGCTGGAATTAGGGGTATTCAAGGTGTGGTTCGCAAAACAGTTAACGATGAACTTCGGGCCACCATTTGGGAACCTCAGCATATGGATAAGATTGTTCCATCCCTCCTGTTTAATATGCAAAAGATAGAAGAAGTTGACAGGTATTTAAAAAGATGTCAGTGTTGAAACTGTTACTTTTATATATGTGTATGTGTGCTTGCCTAGGATAAGAACGTTTTGTCTTTAATACTCTGTAAACAGTAGTCTCATAAAGTTAAGTGAGTTTAAAAATATGTACCTTTCTGAAAAAATTTTAGTCCATAGTGATCACGTTAGGGTTAGTAGAATACAGATTATTGTTCATACACCTAAGCCTTCTTTTTCTTTTAGAATAAGTTTACAGTCTATTTTCCTCTTACTATTGAATATCCAAATTGCTGTTTTAATGAATACTACTTAAAGTCACAAATGTAAGAAACAGAAATTATAGCTCCGTTTCTATTAATATAAAAGATCTAGTATACTTTTGCACAGGGAGTTAGAACTAACCAAAATAATAATGATAATAATAATAGCTACCCACACTGTAATTTTATTTTTTCAACAAAACAGTTAGACACTGTTCATATTTGATTTGTCCTAAGATATTCTGGAATTGAATATTGTTTTGGGGTATATGCTCGTTTTTTTCTTTTTTCCATAACATTCACTTGGAATTCTGTACTTTATTCCACTTTTTCAAATACTAGAAGCATGCTTATTCCCCACATTTCTGTTGCCATACACAGAGATAGCAAGTTAATAATAATAAATTAATGAATAATAAAATATTTATTATATATAAATAATATTTAATATATTTAATAGAAATTAATGAACATTTCAGAAGCAGTATTCTCCAATGACTTATTATCCTTACTTTCCTGATTATTGCAGTTTGCAGAGGAAAATTTGAATCAAATTTAAAAGTGATTCAATTCTACAGTTCTAGATTTAAATTTTATGTATAATTTTTGTGATTATATGTGTAATAGCAAAACATAAAGGTAGTCTAGAAATGAGATGTAATTGATAACTCTATGGTAGCACTTGCACATTCATGTTAATTTGCACTAATTACAGAAAGGATTCATGCTTAATTCCTTGGATGTGACTGTCTCCAGCTTTGTGAACCTTTCCTAAAGTGTGAAACTTGATATACTTTATCATTATCTGTATTTTTCCTATTCTTGGCACTATAGCTGAGATGAAAGTTTTCTTAGCTAAAATATTTACTGTTTCAAGGATCACTAGCTAGATGGAAACCCATTTCCCATAACTATGGCTCCTGAGGTCCAGGGTTAGCTTATGTAAAATATAGGAAACAGAGCTCATTGGTTGCCATTTCTTAAGACATTATATTTTTTCATGATATAAACCCAGTGCCACATATACATTTTTTAAATTATTATTCATAAATTCATTAGCCTAAAATAATGTTTCAAGATGTGAACAGAATATTGTCTGCTGAAGACAGCTACATATACAAATATTCTAATTAGCTTTAAATTTTTATTTTTTATTTATAGGCTAGGTCATAGTTTTTCACTTTATTCTATTTTTGCCCATTTACAGTTAAATTGAGGATACCTAAAGATGGTCTCTGGGCACTGTGTTCTTACTAAGATTTTGCTATAAATACAGAAAAGTTGAATGAAAATGAATAGCAAGCTGCTGAGTGTGTTACTTATAGAAAAGACATTTTGTTAGAAACAAGTTGCACAGCCAAGTTTATTTCTTCTATTTGAAAGAGCATATGATTCATTTTGTTGGTTTTAAATTCATGAAATTATAATTAAACTTTATGTCGACTGGATGATAAAAAGCAAATGCCATTTTAACATTTCTAAAAAGTAAAGTATATTCTGTTTATTAGAACTAATATTAAAATTCTTATGTTCGTTTTTCTTTATTTCGCTTTCTCTCTTAGTCGCATAGGCCCTCCTTCTTCTCCTTCAGCAACTGACAAAGAAGAGAATCCTGCTGTGCTGGCTGAAAACTGTTTCAGAGAACTGCTGGGACGAGCAACTTTTGGGAATATGAATAATGCCGTTAGACCAGTTTTTGCGTAAGTAGTTGGTGTTTTCCTGGTTATTTGTGACTTTGCTGTATTAATTTATTCAATTCTGTGTTAACTTATTTATAGAAGACAACTACTTTTTTACTTGTATGAGGAAGTTATTAATGGAATCAGTGTAACACTGTGGAAGTAGTTACAGGACTGAGTCACAAATGATATGTTTGAACAGTGGTCAATACTTCAGTAGCTATTTCCCTTTAAGTATGAAGTGTAATAATCTGCTTCATATCTTGTGCATTGTTTAACTTGAATAGCTACTTACAGATCTTGAAATGCATATGTGCAGTGAAATATTTAAATAAACAGTGTCCAAGTATGATGTATCTTGTTTTACTAACTTTGATGGTCAGTTTTTCCTGTTCCCTGGCTTCTATTTCTTGACTTTCTGCCATGGCTGGGCTGCCTTAGATCACATTCACATATCTGAGTAAATAATCTTTTACATGGTGATTAATCAGAGCAAGAATATTAAATATCTCATTGGTACTTACATGCTCTCCTCCAGGCAAAATACGTTAATGAGCTTTGAGTTTCTCCATCTACACATTTTCTCTCAAGCCTTGTTAAGCCTTTGTATTTCTAACTCAATCACTAGATGATAGATCTACCATATAATATTCTGTGTAATTTCTAGACATTTTTGCTAGTCTTTTTTTTTTTTTGTTAAAATTCAACTTGTCCTTTTCTCCTTCTGACTATAATAGTGGCTTTATAGAATATGTACGATATTCTAAATGTAACATCCAGAATTCTTTTGTTTTTTGAAACGGAGTCTCGCTCTGCTGTCAGGTTGGAGTACAGTGGTATCTCAGTCACTGCAACCTTCGATTCCCTGGTTCAAGCTGTTCTCCTGCCTCAGCCTTCCAAGTTGCTGAGATTATAGGCATGCACCACCACGCCCAGCTAATTTTTATATTTTCAGAAGCAATGGGGTTTCACCATACCATGTTGGCCAGGATGGTCTTGATTTCCTGAACTTGTGATCCACCCACCTTGGCCTCCCAAAATGCTGGGGGATTACAGGCGTGAGCCACCACGCCCAGCCCAGAATTCTTTATTAATTACAGATGGATGTTCTTAGCCTAGGGTTCCAAGTAGAGCCGAGCCGTAGTTACAAGAATCTATAAATCACAAAATTATATTAAAAATTAAATAATCATTAGATTTTCAATCTATGTTTCCTCCCACCTCCAAAATATTGAAATGCTACTAAAAATTAATCAGGATTACATTAAATATACTAAGGGCAGATTTTTTTTTTTAATATCTACACATTCTGACAATGTCAGAATACCATTTTTTATCTTAATATTGTTATTGAGAACTAATCTATAAGGCCTTAAAAATCTAGAGAGCTAGCTTGGAGAAAAAAAATTACCAAATAAGCTGTACTTGAATTGAGTAACTCGAACTGAGTTATATTCTTTTCTATATAGAACTTAAAAATTCTGATCATGTATTAGTTAATTAATTAAATTAATCTTAAGTAAATATGTGATTACATTCTAGCCATTTAGTTAATTAAATATTAAATGTCCTCTGTAAGCGAGGTGCCATGTATTTTGGGAATATATGCATTAATAACTAATGTAATGGGTGATTGACATGTACAATATCTGTAAAACAATATATGGATTATGGGAAAAAGACAAAAAATGCTGTGGCAGTTCAAAACAAATAATTCATGTCTAAATTGAGAATTTAGGACCAACATCTTTTTTTTTTTTTTGAAATGGGAGTTTCGCTCTTGTTGCTCAGACTAGAGTGCAATAGCACAATCTTGGCTCATCGCAACCTCCACCTCCTAAGTTCAAGCAGTTCTCCTGCCTCAGCCTCCCAAGTAACTGGGATTACAGGCATGCACCATCATGCCTGGCTAATTTTGTAATTTTAGTAGAGATGGGGTTTCGAGGTGATCTGCCCACCTGGGCCTCCCACCGTGCCCAACCAGGGCCAGTATCTTTTAAGGTAGATGAAGGTAGTTATCAAAAACTGCTCTGGAAATTGTATTTTATTTGTAAATAATGCTTTAGTTTGATATTAAAGTCAGTTTTTAATTTCAGTTATTTGCGTAAAGAAAATAAAATGATCAAATTTTGAGTATTATATTTTTAATCAACAGTGAGCATAAGACACTGATAATGTTGGCTGGAGTGTTGGATAGGGTTTAGGGCTTTGTGTGAGATAGAAGGGAAAAAGTTTAGCCTATACTGTAGAGATTTTAAAATTTTATATTTAAGTTTATAGATAATTAGTGGAGATCTTAGCTTAAAAGTATACAGTGGCTATAACTGCCCTTTGTGAAAGTTAATCAGATAGGGCTATTTAGGACAAATTTGAGCCAGGGCCACTATGTCAGCAGGTTACTATAATAAAATTCTTGACAAGTATGTATGCGAACTATAAGTAATTAGTAGCATGCTTGATGAGGTAAATAAAGTTTATTTTTCTGCCTCTTAGCAGATGAATATTATAATGGACAATATTTAACTTGGCTATTGGTTAAGAATCCATAAAATCATGATAATACAGCTCATAATAGCATTAAAGATTTATATCTTTTGAGAGTGAAGATGGAAGAATTTGCCTCAATTATGAGGCAGAAACTACCCAATTTATCAGATTCAGGTTAACTGTACATTTGTTTTCTGCATTTTGTCCTATAAATTCTCTATATGTTTTTTTTTTTTTATCACGACTTCTGTTCATTTAATTTTAAGTAGTGGATTTCATTTATGCCTTCTACTCTTCAGGCTTCTTCCAAACAAGTAGCCATGTTCAAATGCTTCTTCGAATCTACAAAGGCTAGCGCGTAGTACGTAACACAATAGACCTTAAAAACTGTGATGATTCAAGATGGATTTCAGGTCTTTTTTTTTGGTACCATTTCCATTTGTAATGCCTCAAAAAGCAATTATTACTTTCTGGGAGATGAAAGTTATAATAAGCAGCAAACCCAGATGTTAATATAGGTCATATCAGGATGTGCTGTTTATTGGTTGTATGAACTTGAAAAACTCAACCTCTCTGAGCTCCAATTTTTTCACCTTTGAGAAGATTTTAATGCATGCATTAAATGGTTTATTTATATCTTAAAATAGAAGCTACTACTTATCAAGTGCTGGCTGCACCCTGTGTCTATGCTAATAACCTTATATGCTTTATCTTACTTAATCCTTTTACCATATGAAGTGGATGTCATTACTGTCCCCATTTTCCAGGTCAGATTTCTGACCCTTAGAGAAGTCAAATAACTCACTCATGAACAAGGACATATAGGTAGAAAGTGAAGTCAGAATTCAAATTCCAATCATTTTATTCCTGCACTCATGGTCTAAATTAACCGTTAAGGTTGATAATATATGCCTAGCATAAAACATATTTTCAACAAATGATAGTTATAATAAAGCTGGTTTTGATATGGAAGGACAATTTTTAAACTTTAGTTTTGATACAAAGGGTGAGAAGTAGATCTGGCAATCTGAGGATATAATCTAAGGTTGTTCTCCTGGCGTTTTCCAGCCTTGTATTTGTCCATCATTTACCCTCTTTCATTCATATTTACTTGTTAGATAAAATTACTCATTGCAAGAAGTAAATTAATAAATTGCAACATTGAAAAAACCTGGGAATCAGTAAATATTTATTGATTAAATGTTCACGAAACTACTACTGGTCCACAGCATTGCTTTAGAAATAGCTTTAATTGCAACATATGTTTCATGGAGCTCATTAATTAAGAATTAAACTGAAATCTTGCTTTTCTTTTAGGTAGTATTCTCACTTTAAGCTTTTCCTATTGTTGAGGTTTCTAGAGGAAGAAAGTATAATAAAATAGGGAATTTTAAAGTAATTTTTGTTGTTATTTGCAGGCATTTAGATCATCACAAACTGTGGGATCCCAATGAATTTGCAGTTCACTGCTTTAAAATTATAATGTATTCCATTCAGGTAAGGTTTGGTTATTTACTATATTTATATAAGTAATTTTGGTTCTTTATAGATAAGCACATTATCTAACAGACGTGGAGAGCTATAAATCATTGTTCTTAATTTAGCTCTTTTGTCTCATTAATTTTCTTTTGCTACTTATTTTCTTATTTGCCAAGATGAAAAGATAGATCTAATCAAAAGAACTAAATAATTCTATCATGGTTCCCTTCAGCACCAAGACCAACACAGACAAGCTTCTTGACAGTCTCCTGCTACCCCTGGATTCATTGAGGGTGTTGTCTTTTAGGGGTTCTGAATTGACACAGGGATTTCTGATTTGTTAACCTACCTTTCCTGTATGGGCCCTAAGCTTTGTATCTAGTCTTCATGTATACAGCTGTCTAAATGAGTAGCTCTGGGCACTGGAGAGGTGAAGATTTGCCTGGAACTGCTGCTGGCCTCAGTGTGCACTCACCTTTCCAGATGCTTGCCTTCTTCTGGAGTTTGGACTAAGGGACTTTCCTTTCCTGCCACTTTATCTGGGTATCAGAAACTCTTATATATAGCCGACCTTTGAATAACATGAGTTTCAACTGTGCAGTTTCACTTATAGTGTGGATTTTTTTTTCAACAAAATGGAGATTAAAAAATCTATTATTTGTTGAATTCAAAACCCCAAGTTTATGGGGAGCTGATTTTTTCCATGCAGGGCCAACTGTGTAGATGGATTTCAGGTCTTGTTTTTGGTACCATTGACTTGAGTATGTGCGATTTGGGTATGGAGTGGGACTGAAGCCTGTCCCCAAGTATATCAAGGGAAAGCTTTAGTCTAGTATTTTACTATTGTTTTATGACAGGGCTTGGCAATTTGGGAAAGCGTGTATAATATTTCTGGAAATGGTGGTATATACCAGAATAGGAATTTCTGTTTAACTATCATTGTACAATTAAAACTTTGGATAGCTTTGATTGTTCTAATTGCCTTTTGCATAAAATTGGTATAAAGTACTCAGAAGAGTGCCTGCTTCTGGTCACTTCTGAATGAAATGCTCTTTTGTCATTATTGTTATGTTTGATGTTATAGTCATATATTAGCTCAGGAGTCACCAATTGAAAAATAGTAATAATAACTAATGCATATTGAACATTTTTCGTACAATAGACACAATTTGGGTGCTTTATACAAATTAACTCCTTTAATTACCCAAAGAATCCTATGAATAATTTTTATCATTTAAATATTATAGATGAGAGAAACTGAGTTACAGGGAGATTAAATAATTTCTCTCTTAATCTGAGAGCTGTTTAGCTATTAAATCGTATGGCCAGAATTTGAACTTAGGCTAGTTTGACTACAGAGCTTGTGTATTTCACCACCACTGTATTATATTGCTTCTTAAAGTGATTCATCTGTTAACATTGCCTTAAATTTCAGTGTAAGGGCAAATTTTGCTGTTAGGTAAATGAAACCTTAGTACATGTGACTTCAACATACTGTGTAACATCTTCTCACTTTCCTTCCTTTCACTCCATATTCTTGTAACACATGATACCGTTATTGAGTCGTTCATAAGTGGAATGAACACATGCCCTGGTTTGCGTAGTATAGTCATACTTTATGTGTAATTATTAACAATACTTCCTTCACTCTCTGGAGTGTCCTCATTTGGACAGTAAATCAAATGGCTACCTTACCTATAAAGGCAGACTAATAATTGCACAAGTTCACATACCAGAAGCATGCAGCTTCCTGAGCAAGAAGTTCAGTTTCAGGTTGTGCGTATGTGTCTTCCTGCCTAACATTCATCTATTTTAACATAGCTTTGAATGAAACAATGTAAAGATGAAAACACAAACTTAGTTTTTACTTAGGGTGGCTTTAAAAGTAGATGTGTGTTATGACAAAAATTTGAGAAATACCTAGAGATGAAATCTGTAACTTGATAGAGAAGGAGGGGAATTTTTGCTTTTCAGCAGGGTAGCCATTATGCGTAGGGCACTCCTTTCTTATCAAACCACACATTCCAAAGGAAAGAAAGGTAACCTGCCTGAAAACAGGGCAGAGCGGGCCTGTCTGAAGACAAGAATAGACAGGGAGATTCAGGGCCACAGATGCTTTTGACAACTTGGTGCAGGATAGTAGACCAATTGTGACTCATGGACATTTAAGTGTAGGTTTAAAAAAAAAAAAACTTTGCTACTCTTCAAAAAAAAAAGGAATTAACTGGAGTTAAAAATAAACATTTTTCTGCTATGCTTTTTTTGTTTTGGGCCCTAACATTCGCTGTAGTTGATCAAATTTGTTTGTATGTGATAAAATTGCCTGCGTTACTTGCACATCTTTCGATATCTCCTTGATTTAAATTTTGTCAGGTACACATTAATAATATTTTCAATTTGACAGTAGCTCTTGATTAGATGAGTGTTTTGACTGTTTAGCATTGTTAGGTGTCCGTGTTAAATAGTATTTAGCTTGGGTAAGGGAAAAGTACTGTGAATGTCATCATTTATGTTTTTTACCAAATTTTGATCTGATATCAAATTATAAGTATATAAATGACCATTGTGAAATTGCAGAAAAATGTAAAGGTAATAAAAATTTCTCATAAATTGCTTTCTCAGGGGTGGCCAGTGTTAATCTTTGTATATGTAATTATAATTTACTTTTTAAAAACTAGTTTGAATTTTATTAAACAAAGTATTATATAATATGCTTCTTTTCACTCAGAGTATTATAAATATTTTCCAGCATCTCTGTTTATTCTTCAAAAGAATGACTTTGTATTTGGCTATTTATTGTCTCATAACATGACTACCCTTCCCTAATTGGACATTTATGTGTCAGGTGTTTTTTTTTTATTCTTATGAATTCTGCCAAGGTACATGTACTTGTTAATACATCTTTGTACTGTTTTGTCTCCTTTAGGCTCAGTATTCTCACCATGTGATTCAGGAGATTCTAGGACACCTTGATGCTCGTAAAAAAGATGCTCCCCGGGTTCGGGCAGGTATTATTCAGGTTCTGTTAGAGGCTGTCGCCATTGCTGCTAAAGGTTCCATAGGTGAGTGCCAATAAATAAAATAGTACATTAATCTAGTTTAAAGTGTTCTTTCAGTAGTTATAACAGTGTATGAAAAACTCTTTAAGAATATTTCTATACATTTTTAGATGTACTATAAGTTTTTCTTGAAATTTGGATTCATGCAATTCTTTTCAGTCTTCTTTAGTGCACAGTTAAGTATTTTCCTCCACGTCAATTTCTCCTCCCTTTTCTTCTTCTAATAAAGGTTTTTGAGTATGGATTACATACTGAACATTGGTAGAATGCAGATGGAAGAAACTCATAGTGTACTTACGGTTAGACAGCTCCACCTAATGCTGTAATATATGACTGGCTTTGATCACATAGCTTAAAAAAGCCAGGGTTTAGAGAAGGGAGGGAAAATGGATTAGCAGGAGCAAAATTTATGTGGCTCATTTTGGGTAGAATGTATGGTTCTAGTTTAGAAGTCAGGGAGGTGGCTTTAAAATTAAGTCATAATCAAATTGTGGACATAGTTCTTTAGCTGATGAATAGTCCTTAAAGATTTACTCTAATCTTCATGAGAAATGTGCTATAGGATAATTTTTCTGATAGCAAAATAGGGCACATTAGAAATAAAAAGTTCCTGCCGTTGTTGTGTGCATGAGGGAAAGAACTTGCCCTTGCATGGGAGCAGTAGGAATGACATTGTCACGTTGACAGGATTTGATCATGGGGTAATGATAAGAGGGGATAGTTCAAAAATTACAATATTTTACCTACATGTAACTACAAAAATGGAGTAGTCCATATTAGAAGTACAGAAGTTTAAAGGAAAATTTGGTTATGGTTTCTTTGCTTGAAAATCAAAGTAGAAATATATTATCTAATAAAATAGTCATCATTCAGTATCTGCAGGGGATTGGTTTGAGGACCCCTGAGAATACCTAACTCTGTGGGTGCTCAAGTCCCATATATAAAATGGTGTAGTGTTTGCATATAACCAATGCACACCCTCCCATATACTTCACATCATCTTTAGATTACTTAAAATACCTAATGCAGTGTAAATGCTCTGTGAATAGTTGTTACACTGTATTGCTTTTTGATTTGTGTTATTTTTTTTATCCTGGGTTCCCCTCCCCCCAATATTTTTAACCCATAGTTAGTTGAACGTGTGAATCCAGAACTGCAGATATGGAGGACCAACTGTATTCTTTTGTTCTTTTATTGTCAAATAAAGGTGGGCATTTTGGATATGAATTTTCCATTTTATCTTGTAACTTATCTCAAGGAGATAAAACAGGTTATTTAATTGGAAAGTTATTTAATTGGAAACATGAAATGAAACAATATAATACATTGAATTGTCACATTGATTAATGTCTACTAATACTACTAAGTGTGTTAGGTACTATGTGCTAGGCTCTATGTATTTGAAGAGGCATTTAAACATGGCTACCTTTCCTAAAGAAGCTTGAATTAAGAGTAAAAGGCAGAAATGAAATCCACTAATTAAAATAAGGTAGACAGAAGCAGTGAGAGAAACACATGCAGAAAAGCTATAGAACAAAATGCAGAAAACAAATGCACAGTTAACCTGAATCTAATAAATTCAGTAGTTTGTCTCATAATTGAAGCATATTTTTCCTTCTTCAGTCTCAAAAGAAGCAAAATAAATATTTGATGCTTCTGTGAGCTATATTATATGATTTTGTGGATTTGTACCCAGCAATTAAGTCACATATCATCCTAGTATACACTATTGCGAACAGATAAGATTAAATAGGCAGAAAATTTTTGGTAATTCTTATATGCATGCACACATTTTGTAAGGGTGGAATCAGAGATTCAAACAGCAAGTTGCTCATAAATGCCCAGTAAAATTGGTTGATATAATGAAGCGACTTTCTTAATTATTTCTCATTTACTCTTTTTTAAAAAAATGAAATAGTTTATAAATTATGGACTTTTGACTACTTAGAAAATTACAAAAGAAATCTGTGGAGAAATAAGATAATTGACTTTGAATATGCAATACTAGAAACATGTATCTTCTCATGTAAGTGATCCTTTTTAGGTCCAACAGTGCTGGAAGTCTTCAATACCCTTTTGAAGCATCTGCGTCTTAGTGTTGAATTTGAAGCAGATGATTTACAGGGGGGATCTGTAGGCAGTGCCAATTTAAACACAAGTTCCAAAGACAATGATGAGAAGATTGTGCAGAATGCTATCATCCAAACAATAGGTGAGTGCATTTCACTTTTCCAAACTCTCATGTAAAGCAGTGATTTAAAAGCTCTCACATAAGGTCCTGGACTATTACATTTGTCAAAGATGAATCATAGCTTAAACTTCCGAAAACTTTATTTTCTGAAAATAAGCAAGCATGAGAATATAAGAACGCTATGTTGTCCCATTAAATCTGCAGGACACAAATTGTTAACGTTTTGTGCCATTTACTTTTTCATTTGCTTTTACTCTCTTTCCTGCATCTCTTTCTCCCTTCTTGCTCTTCCTGTTTCTTTCTCTATGTGTGTGTGTCTTTGTGTGTGTATGTATATGTAAGAATACACACATACACATGTATTTTTTTATAAACCACAAGATACAGAAAGTTGCACATATCATGGCCTATTACCACTAAATACTTCAGTGTATTTTTCCAAAGAATAAATGTATTTTTTAATATAACCCAAGTAAAATTGTCAGCATTGCTAAATTTAATATTGATCCAGTACTTGAATCAACCTTTCATATTTCAGTTTTATCAGCTGACCCAGTAATGTCCTATATTGACTTTCTTCCTTGGGTCCAAGATTCAGTCTAGGATCATATATTGCATTTAGTTGTAATATTTTTTTAGGTCCATTAGTGAGGAATGTTTCCATTATGACGTGGACATTTCTTATGAGTAAAGTCCAAGTCCCCCTCCCACTTTTTTAAAAATAGGAAGTTCCTTATTTGGTTTTGTTTGGTGTTTCCTTGTGATTAAATTCAAGTTAAATATTCCTGGCTACAATACTACATATGTGATATGTTCTTCTCAGATTAGCACATTCAGAGGTACACACTGTAACTTACTCCTTCAAGTATAAGCAACATTATACTTGCTTAGTGACTATAGTTAGATGCTGCGGTAAAGAGAAGTGCACACTACTTTATGTCCTTGTGGTAATAACTAATTAGTTTGGGACAGAAAGTCAGTGTCCAGTTTTATGCAAGACTAGGAATGTATCTAGTTGGGTGCTTGAAAAGCTAAAGTAGCTTGTGTGGAAGAAGTAAGGAATAAGCATAGACTTTGGAAATAAATAACCCTTACTTCAGGCCCTAATGTTAGCTCTCTAATTTTTTTGGTAAGAGTTCTTCTCTTAATGTCATTTCCACAAGAGGAAACTGAGACAAATAATAGAAGTTAGACTCATAAAGTTGTTTTGAGGATCCAAATACAAAATAGTTTCTTATTCTATAAATATGTATTCAGTAAGTGTTAACTAGAAAAATGTACTTTGTGGAGTTGGAGTCATGTTAAAATTATGAGATTTTTGACTGCTAAAGTACATGATTGTGGGAAATGACTTACCCTAGTTCCAATCGAAATAATGACTAGAAATGTTTGAGTTTGTATAAACAGATCATTAGCTCCAGTAATAGAAGCCGAACAGTTACACTGAAAAGTCAGCTTATTCTTAAAAAATACTAAAAATGCAGAAAGTTATTGAAATGACTGCAGTGAATTTTAAGAAACGAACATAACAGCCATGATTTGATAGTGTGTTCCAGTCCTTCTAAGAAATAGGCAACTTTTAAAGCATGAGTAAATGGTAATTAACTTTTATAAATCTTTTGTGACCAGGAAGTAAGTATCAAAAGCTACAGCAGATAAATTTAAAATATTCTCAAACTAGACTGGATAAGAAAAATGACAAGTTATTTACTTATTTTTTACATCAGTTGAATTATGTATGTTGAATTCATATGGGTAATCTATAAACTTGGCTTACTATAATGACACTCAACTATTTGAGCAATCCTGGAAAACCAGAGTAGTGACTTAATTATTGACTTCTTTACCAGATAATGTGTAGATAAAGTACCAGAACAATAATTTAGGCACAATGTATGAACTAGAGTTTCATCAGAAATACTACCAAAGTATTTTTCCTTTTTTAAAACTCCAGTCAACTCAAGTCAGTGCTGATTTGTCACTGTTACAACTATATAAAAAAGACTTTGATAAATCTATTATTTTATCTATCATTCCATTATACTACACAGCTTACATGGTACATAACTAAATGATTTTGGACAAATGAAACTGTAATATCCTTTAATGTTACATGTAGCTTAAAAACTTGTCAGTGATTGTTTTACCACATATTGAAAACTTTGGCTAAAAATAATTTTGTATTATATGGAAAAGTAGACTTTTTCAGTTTCTAAACTTTATCCTAATACTCTCATAGGATTTTTTGGAAGTAACCTGCCAGATTATCAGAGGTCAGAAATCATGATGTTCATTATGGGGAAAGTACCTGTCTTTGGAACATCTGCCCATACTTTGGATATCAGTCAACTAGGGTATGTTCTCAAACGGTAAATTTGAACTTAATCTTGAGTTACATTTTATCCTAAAGAAATCCAGAAAATGGTAAAGTTTTGTTTTTTAAATCAGTAATAAAATTCCTATGGAAAGTAGTTAGTGTTATTATGACAGTAGATTGCTAAGCAATTGAATCGGCATTTTTATGCCTTTAGAATTATTTTCACCATATAAATTCTCAGATTTTCCATCTTTAAAAATCGTGTGCATACATATTTAGGGTGAAGCTTCAAGTTTTCTGTATAAATTTTAAAAATTAGTATGTCTGAAATATTGGCTTATTCTTAGAATTTTAGAACTGAAAGTGATAAAGATTATGTGCTCTGACCACCTTATTTTATACATTTAATTTGATTTTATAACATGCTAAAGTTTTTGTTTGTGAATGTTTTTGTTTTGTTAATTTAATAAGGAAGTAATAGTATCTTATTCAACTTATATTTCTCTGACCATTTATTTTTCTAAAATTGTTCTTTCCTGTTTATTCATATTTGTTAAAGAGAGAAACGCATCAGCTATGTTTATAGTAATTATTTTCTCTCATTTAAGGTGTCTTAATTTCAGTTGTTTAGTTGTCTGTGTATATGATTTATTTTCTTGTCATCACACACATAGGACTATTTAACAGCCAATAACACATTTTTTTGTTGATGTTTTTGTTTTAATTCACATGAAATTTATTTTGACATGTAAAGTGAGCCATGACTTAAATTGTTATAAAAAATGAAGTCTACTTAGCCAGTAAGAATAGAATTTTAAAATCCAATAATTGAAATAAATGAAGTAATATAAATGCTAATTCATATAATAATTCTAGCCTTTTGTATATTTTAGGGATTTGGGAACCAGGAGGATTCAGATAATGTTGCTGAGATCTTTGCTTATGGTAAGGCATTTAAGGCAAATAAAGGAAATACTTAACCTTAAATTACTGAAAAGATTAATTGAATAGCTTCATCTTACAAGCTCTCTTTTCTTAACTAAGTTACTGTTTATGGTTAATATTTTATTTATTTATTTTGAGACGGAGTTTCACTCTTGTTACCCAGGCTGGAGTACAATGGCCTGATCTCGGCTCACCGCAACCTCCGCCTCCTGGGTTCAGACAAATGTTCTGCATTTTAAAAATTAGCCTATATTTTTTGCTGGTTATTCCTCATTTTTCCTGTCATTTTGTTTGATCTTCATAATGATGAAACATACAGAGGGCAGAAACTATTGCTCTCTTATAGATGAAAATACCTGGTCTCAGAGACTGAGTGGAAGGAGTTGATGAGGTCCACCAAGGTCGTTGGGTGAAAAAATAGAACTCAGACTTGATATCCAAAGTTCTTTCAACATATGCTATTTCTTTCTCATACTTACCAAATAATCACTTCTGATTGGAAAAATAATTTATTAAAATTAATAGTTGCCATTTAAAATTTGAAGTGGCTATAAATAGCTGAAACGAAAAAGTATACCCAGAATGAAAGGTTCTCTGGTATTTTCTAGTAATTGTACTCATATTTGATTCAAGTGCTCCAAGCATATATGTGTCCTTTTCAAATCAATGTCTTTCAGATTTATCCTAGAAATGTTTATGTGATCTCATTTTTTAAATGGACTATCTCAGACCTAAGTGCAGAAATGCCTTGTATGGTTTTATTTTTAATTCTGTTTATGGTGCTTGTCATATAGAAGTTTTGAATTCTAATATAGCCAAATTTATGAGCTTTTTCCTATATATTTTGTACTTTTTCATTTGTATCTTCTATAAGAACTCTGTGCCTCCTCTGATGATATAAACACATTTGTTTATATTTTCTTACAGCAGTTTTAAAATTTTAGCCCTCTACATTTAGAATTTTTTTTTTTTTTTTTTTGAGACGGAGTTTCGCTTTTGTTACCCAGGCTGGAGTGCAATGGCGCGATCTCAGCTCACCGCAACCTCCGCCCCCTGGGTTCAGGCAATTCTCCTGCCTCAGCCTCCTGAGTAGCTGGGATTACAGGCACACACCACCATGCCCAGCTAATTTTTTGTAATTTTTAGTAGAGACGAGGTTTCACCATGTTGACCAGGATGGTCTCGATCTGCCGAACTTGTGATCCACCCGCCTCGGCCTCCCAAAGTGCTGGGATTACAGGCTTGAGCCACAGTACCCGGCTACATTTAGAATTTTAATCTGAAGTTTATGTTTATATGTGGTATGAGGCATAGATTTTCCTGGATGAGTAGATAGTTGTTCCACCAGCTTCCCAGCTGACTTATAAAACTACCTCCATCTGATGATAAATGTCCAAATATAAGTGTTAAATATTTCATGTATATTTATAATTCTGGAAATATGTTTAAATCTTCCACCTGTAATTTAATTTTATCCTAAGCCTTTATTTATATTAAACAAATTCCCTAAATAAATTATTTTGTCTCGCCATCCTGATTATACCACATAGTGAACTGAATGAATATCTATATAGTATGCTTAAAATGTTGAATAGCATTTAAGTATATTCTCTTTAAAAGTTTTATCTTTAGAAGATATTGATATACTTGTAAATGTCAAATCAAGTAACTAACAAAGTACAGCTTTCCAAAATGAAAATGTGTTCCTATTAACTGACTGCTTAATTTAACATGAAAGAATAATTACAAACTTAAATTTAAAATTTGCAGGACTTACTTTTAGTTTGCCACTTAAGTTCCTTATATCTGTTTTGTACTAACCTTAACCTCTCTGAGCCTCAGTTTCTCCTTATAAATGGAGATTCTCTAGTGTCTGCCTTACAGAGGTATGGTGGGGACAAAGTTAATACATATGCAGTGCTTATAATCATGCCTAGCATATGGTAAATGTATGCTACTGTTAATTTTATTCTCCTTATGAATGATGTTTTTGTAAATTCAGTATAATCCTTCATTACTTTGCACATTTCCTTTATGTCGTTTCTTCAGGCTTCTGTCCATAGTTTCTTTCCTAAGTTTATGGTTCTTATAAAACAATATGAATTTTACAAAAAAAAGACTTATGAAAAAAGGTTATTTTCTTCCCGATAATCAGGTAACTTCTGGATACAAAGCAAAGACGATTGTTACTGCACTGCCGGGGTCTTTCCTGGATCCTTTGTTATCACCGTCTCTCATGGAAGACTATGAACTGAGACAGTTGGTCTTGGAAGTAATGCATAATCTCATGGATCGCCATGACAATAGGGCGAAGCTTCGAGGTATCAGGTAATATGCCATTTTGAAATGGCTCTAATAATAGTGTTTTTATATTGGTAAATTTGTATATTTAAATATTGTGATTTTAACAAATCTAGCATGTTTAGGCTTTATTAACCCAGAGTTTTATTTAATTGATATTGAGATAATGTAATCATTCATTTATATTAAGATACCAGATGTTTGGAGGTCATATATGTGCTCCTCAGAAGCAATTCAATAGTATCATTACTTACAGGCTTATCAAGCTCCTAAGTATAAATATAATTTTCCATGTAAGATGTAAAATTGTAAATAAATGTGCTATTTGTTAAAAATGATATATTGGTTGTCTCTAGAATAATACCAGATGTAGCTGACCTAAAGATAAAAAGAGAAAAAATCTGTAGACAAGACACAAGTTTCATGAAAAAGGTAAGATATCTTCTAAAAAATAAAATAAATAAATGCCTAGCGTAAATTATAGCCATTTGAATTGTTAGGTGGTTTTTCATTGATCGGTGACCTTGAAATGAAGCCATAGAATTTTGAATTTGAAAGACCTCTAGATGCCATCCTCAGCCTCTCTCACGTATAACATTCTTGGCACTGTCTCCTCCAGCCTGTGTTTAAACATTGTATTGTTGGGCTACTGTAGTGGTTCTAAATTTCTTCTCTGAGTAATATGTCTTCCTATAATTCTTGCCCTGTCAATCTTCTCCCACCAAAACACATACTGAGTCCTCTTTTAGTGGCTCTTTTATAGACAGCTTCAAGTTTCTGAAAATAGCTATCACTATCAAATAAATTAACTATGCTGAATATTTACTGTATATTAGGCCTTGTTTTCTACACTGTTTGGGATATAAAGATGAGTTGGGTAGGATCTCTGCCCCTGATAGTGTTTCTAGCTGGATTTTCATGATGATAATTTAAATTCTGTAGGTCTACTGGAAAATTGCTGAATTCAGAAAATTATATTTATGGTTGTTTGCATATTGAGTAAACTTTTCTGTGCAGTTATTATTAGACCAAAGCTTGGGAACGTAGTATTTGCCAGACACTGAGTCAACATTGGAAGATACAATAACCATGACACTACCAACTGCCCTAATAGGGAATACAGTATTGCGGGCTAAGGGAGTCTGTTTTTAGAGGTGCAAGGAACATGAGACAGAGCCCCGTAGGAAACTAGGTGCAGAGACCTGTAATCTGTGTTCTCTTTTGCCTCTTTACTAGACCAGGTTTTCTCCCTGACACCGTCTTTAATGTTGCTGTCTCTACCATTACTATAAATTGCTGTGATTCAAGTTAACTCCATTTTAAAACTTCATTTGAAAAATAATTTACAAACTATCACTCTTCCTAAATTAATACTGCATAATCTCACAGGTGGAATCTAATTGAATTCCTTGAATAAAATAATTATTTAAGTTAGGCTACACTGTATATCAAAAAACTGGTTAATAAATAGGACAGATACATTACTTCTCAATTTTTTTATTTCTTTATATCACCTTATTAATGAAAGAAGTTATTCTACATAACTGAGGAATTTTAAACAATTTTTTTAAATATTTTTTATTGACAAATTATAATTACATTTATGGGATACAATATGATCTTTTGATTATATGTATACAATGTAGAAAGTTTAAATGGAGCTAATTAACATATCCATCTTCTTGCTTACCTGTCTTTTTTTATGGTGACATATTTGAAACGTACTCTCAGTTATTTTGAAATATACAATACACTAATATTGACTATAGTCACTCTGCTGTGCAGTAAATAGATCTCAAAACCTAACAACTCCTCCCATCTGTCTTAAACCTTGTAACCTTTGATCAACAATTTCTTCATTCCCTCCTTCTTGCCCTCAGTCCCCACCTTTTCTTAACCACCATTCTCTATGTCTATGAGTTCAACTTCTTTAGATTCCACCTGTAAGTGAGATTATGCAGTATTTCTTTCTGTGACTGACTTGTTTGACTTAGCGTAACATCCTCCAGATTCATCCATATTGTCACAAATGAAATAATTTTCTTCTAGTCAAAGGCTGAATAGTATTCCATTGTATATATATATGCCACATTTTCTTTATCCATTCATCTGTTGATGGACACTTAGGCTGATTCCATACTGAGGAATTTTTAATCATTACTAATATAATGAATTTTGAAAACTCAATTGATTACTGATTTTTGAGTTTTTGACTATGCAATTAAACAGTCATGAACATTCAGACTGGATTTCATTTTATCTGTTATGAGTTATAGAAATAATACTTCTGTGGTTAATTTTGCTAGTCAACCAGTTTGAAAGGCTATAATTTAGTGGCAAGATTAGACTGTTATTTCATGTTACATTTTGAATCCTTAAGCTGTTCTCTGAATTAGTTATCCCTGTTTTATAATTTAAAATAACTTTCCTAGGTAAGCATTTGTTATCATTAATGTAAACCATTCCTATTTGAGTCTTTCTCTTCAGAAGCAATGTGTTCACATTTTTTTCCTTTGTCAGAATTTTATTTTTATAACTCGACCCTATTTTTCATTTACCTTCCAATTTGTTTTATCAGTAAAAATGTTTGATTTTTCATATGAAATCTTAACTAGCAAGTCAGGGAGGTTTCCGCAAAGACCTAAAGAAAAAAAAAATTGGGTCTATAGCCACAGGCTGATTGATTGCCATTTAGTTAAGAGAATCCTAGTTTAGTGTAGACAGTATATGTTCAAGGTTAACTTGTGTGTTTAGGCAACTGTGTCTTAGATTACTACCCAGCCTAAAACTGCTCCATCTGAATTTTGTAGGGACATTTTATACATGGAGTCTGTTTGAAAAACAGTTCCAAGTGCTGGACTTTTGGGAGGTATCACTTCCCCTGTAGTTTCCTCATGAAGCGTATTCTTCCAGAGATAACAGCTGCCACCACTGAGTCTACAATTCAGTTTATAGTTTCTCTCCATGTGGAAAAGCTCTTGTTAATGTTTCACGAAATCAAGGAATTATGTAGAAAAAAGTGCTTTTATTATGAAATCTACGGGAATTATTACTTTAATTATTTTAAGGTGAACAACAGTATAATCAAAAGTGTCCCACCTGTTCTGTCTTATTCATAACTCCATCCTCTCCCCTACAAGTAATCACTATCACTGGTCTGACTTTGATGGAAATTGACTCTTATGGACTTCTTTTTTTTTTTTTTTAACAGTTTTATAACCTAAATATACCTTAAATCCGTAAACTATACTATATTGTTTAGTTTTGCCAGTTTTTGTAATTTGGGTGAAAGGAACCATACATTGTGTATTCTTTGATGTTTAGTTTGTTTAAATTTAGCTCTATTTTGGTAAAATTCATCTGTGTGTGGCTTTGTTAGTATTCCATTATCTGAATATACCACAGGTTTTCTTTTGTTGGCAGACATTTGAATTGTTTCCAGTTAGTGAGTGTTAGGAATAGTGCTACTATAAACAAGCTTTTACATGTGTTAGGCTGTATATAACTCCCATTTCTCCAAGGCCTGTAAGAGACGAATTGCTAAGTAATAGGGTATATATACTTCAGATTCACTAGATAATGCCATACCAATTTGTAAAGTCATTTGTATTTTTACATTACATATTACAGATTTTTTATTTTATCTAATATAGTGGGTATGTAGTAGGTGATTTTTAAAAACAAACTTGAATTACTTAACCTGAAGTCTAAATTCTCACATATGGATGCACCACTTTAATGTTTGTTCATGATGTTTAGGAACCGTAGAATTCAAGAATATTCTTAGGTTTTGAGAGGACCGAATCCATGAAGTTTTTTTTTCCCCACTCAAGTATAGAAACCATATGTGTGTGTGTGAGAGAGAGAGAGAGAGATCAGGAGAGACAAACTCTAGATTCAGAAAGGTGGAAGCCAAAATAACAACTTCAGAAATAAAGGAATCTGGTGGGTAGCTTTATATCTGTAGCCAAAAAAAAGCTTACTAACAGTATACAACAGATTTAAGCGGACTTACACAGTCACTGTCACAGCTAGAGAACTACACATCAGATAGAGAACAGAGCAGAATGCATGCTTGTTACAGACAGACTGGCTTCAGAAGAGTCTGGGCTCTTCTTGCCCAGTTTCTTCTCCTAAAATGATCAGAAGAACATTCTGAGAAATAGGCTTGGAATATTAAGCCTAAAGTCTCTCCACATGGGAAAAATGAGTGTTCTTAACCCTTGCTGCATATTATAACCACATGGGAGCTTTATGTTTGAACAATACTGATGCTTGTGCTTTGCCACTGACCAGTTACATTGTATTAGAGGAGGGTGGACAGTGTGAGAAGTGGGGAGGGCAATAGCATGGTGGTCATTCCAGTTGTCCAGTGATTCCAGCAGACAGTTACAGTCGAGAGCTAATTGAGTTAATGTCACCATTGTGACTGGAAAGGGCATTGCACCTATACCCAGGAATGCTTTACTATCTAGGAAAGGCTTTAATAATCTTCATTAGCATACTCAGATTTGTCTAGTTTGGGGGGAAACCTCTATGCAATACCAGGGGAATTTCTGTTAATAGGCTTCAGAGACTCCACACCAAAATATAACAGAACCTGCAGGTACTGTTCTCTGAACAGCTAACCCACAGCACAAGGATTGTTCCCCAGTCGAGAGAGCCTGGGTACATTTCCTCTCAGCACAATATTCTTTGTCATTGCTGAGGCTGTATTGCTAAAGTATCTCCCAGGATTCTGCTATCCATTTCACTATTTTTCTCAAGTCAATCCATAATTTGCTTTTGTTTTTTCAAATTACTGTTAAAAATATTTTCATTGTTAGACAGGAACTATTTTTTTACTTGTTATTTTTATTTAAGTTTTGTCTTCAATTCTAACATTAGTTTTTAGTTGTATATTAGCATATTGATTGATGTTAGTCATTGGAATTTGACCATCTGATCATCAACTTTAATTTCATTTCCATGTTAAGCTATATAATAATATAGCTGCATTGTAAAAGTGTATGCATGTGAACTCTGCCTCTTCTATATTTTAAGCAGAATTACCTTTTTCCTCTGTCTTTTCTCCTCAGAATGGGCAACAGCTATATCGTCACATATATTTGGGTTGTAAAGAGGAAGACAACGTTCAGAAAAACTATGAACTACTTTATACTTCTCTTGCTCTTATAACTATTGAACTTGCTAATGAAGAAGTAGTTATTGATCTCATTCGACTGGCCATTGCTTTACAGGTATGCTTTCATAACCATTCACTGCAGAAAACATTTTTTATAAAGCAGACACCATCTTTGAAGTGTTGTCTTTATCTAAGGACTTGAATTTTAAAAGGGAGGTATCTACCTCTTAATCTAAAATATACAACACTATGATCACATTCTTCATTGATTCTTTTTACATACGTTGAATGAGCATCAACCTGTATGCTAAATATCCTTCAAGGCCATAGGGATACTGCGATGAAGAAGAAAAACCAGTTTCTGTACCCTCACTTCCTAGTGTGGAAGATAGTCATAGTCTAGTGGGGAAGGTAGTCATTAAATAAGAATTACATACAGGCCGTTGTTTAATTAGAGTTGCATAAGTGTTATGTAATAGAAGGACAGTATGCAGTGGCTATATATGCATGTGTATGTATATATATGAGAACAGGAAAGGTTTCCTAAGGAAGAGAGTTTAAGTTGAAAAATTTAATACTCTTGTAAATAAACATTTATTTTCCTTTCAGAATTCTTTTAGAAAATAATTTCTGATAAAGTGGCATTTTTGTTAGCATTCCAGACTACCTGCAGTTTTCCAGTATAATCAGAGAAAATGCTGGTAGAGCATAAGAACTTGATCTCTCTGATGTGTTTGTTTCTTATTAAAGGACAGTGCAATTATCAATGAGGATAATTTGCCAATGTTCCATCGTTGTGGGATCATGGCACTGGTTGCAGCATATCTCAACTTTGTCAGTCAGATGATAGCTGTCCCTGCATTTTGCCAGCATGTTAGCAAGGTAATGTATTTAGAAAAGTCCTTAAACTTGAATTTTGTACAACATGGCTAATTTTATTCCAATGATGATTATTTTTAACTTTGGTGATTATCAAATTAAGATTATTCTATAAAAATATTGAGCCAGTAAATTGAAACTACAGCTAAAACTGTAGCTACTGTTTTTATATTTTCTTAGATGCCTGTTGTTTTATTAGAATTGTTAAAGTTTTTATATTTTCTTAGATGCCTGTTGTTTTATTAGAATTTTTTAATGTAGTGGTTGAATGGAATATATGGTTTTCTTCTAGAATACCTCATGCGATTTGTTGTATGACGTTTTTTCCTTTGAGCCTTTATGAATCTTAGTATCTAAAGTTTCTTAAATTATACTCTTTTGTTGTCATTTTTTCTAAACTACTTGCGGCAGATCTCAAAAGTTGAGTAATGAATGTGCATCTCAGAGAATTGTCCTGTGTCTTTCAAATATATTTAGTTTTCTTCAGCAGCAGCTCTTAAATCGTGATTTGCCTGACTTAATAAACATTTCAAAGCCCCTAACTTACCTAGCAGAAAAAGTCCACTTTTAAAGACATTTCTAAGAGAGAAACTTTATTTTTCTTAAATTGAAAGCACCTCGTTTAGTCCTTACTAAAATGTAGGCTTTTAGTGTAGTCTAAGAAACAGACTCATCCATTAATCAAACATTTGAGTGAATATTTGATGCCCATCACTAAAGAAATAAATATTACAAAAGCAGACTACCTCTTTACTCACAGTTCATTGGAGGAGCCAGACCACACAAGTGCCTTGACACCTTCTACAGGTTGTTGCAAAGGTAATGCAGCAGGTGGAGGATGGTGATTTGTAAAGCGATTTCCAAGATAGTGCATTTGAGAAAGTAGATAGTCTTGCTTTATCATACTAGGCTTAATCGAATGTAATGGGTCATCATTTTTTGCTTTATATATTATTTTATTGTCACAGTTTTATCTGCTAATTTTAAAATTAATAGATGTGAAAAAATAAACTTTATATTTAGGCTGTAAACTTAGCTTAAATTCAAAAGCAATGTGATAATATTTCTTATAAATGTTCAAAGTTTTTTGTTTTTAAGCTGTTTTACAAAGTTTTATATCAGGGTCCTGAGGGGTGGAGTTTTTGATTTTTATTTTTGAATATTTTTTCAGGTTATTGAAATTCGAACTATGGAAGCTCCTTATTTTCTACCAGAGCATATCTTCAGAGATAAGTGCATGTATGTTAATTCTTTACATTTTAAGGATGCAGTACTGATATCATAAACCAATCAATAATAATTATAGAGGAGTAAACTCTGGTAATAATTCCTGGTGCTTTACGCTAATCTTCATTTTGTGTCTGTCATTTAATTCATTTAATTATTTCCTTTGTGATAAAAAGGTTTGCACATTATGGATGTAGACTCATGCACAACATGGAGTCAATCTTGAAAAAAGTTTTTAAGAATAAGAAGACTTGGCAGGGCACAGTGACCCAGGCCTGTCATCCTAGCACTTTGGGAGGCTGAGGCAGGTGGATCACCTGAGATCAGGAGTTTGAGACCAGCCTAGCCAACATGGCAACACCTCATCTCTACTAAAAAAAATACAAAAATTAGCTGGACGTGGTGGCTATGTGTTTTTAGAGTCGAATTCATTCGTTGCCTAAAATATACTTATTTTTCTGTTACTACAGTTTATGTTGTGTTTATATTTAGAATATTGAGGCTTTTGCTCTGCAGTGTTTTGCATAGTAACTTATTTTTGCTCCATAAAATGCTGAATGATTGTTGTTTTGATGACCTTGGCAGGCTTCCAAAATCTTTAGAGAAGCATGAGAAAGATTTGTACTTTCTGACCAACAAGATTGCAGAGTCACTAGGTGGAAGTGGATATAGTTTTGAGAGATTGTCAGTACCATATGTACCGCAAGTAACAGGTAAGAGGAGGATAATTAGAACTCTCACTCCGGTGATTGCTTATGTTATAGTAATTTTTTTTGTTACCCAGTTAGCAATAAGAATTAATTCTGATGTGTGCACTTACTATAGCCTAGTGATTTTCAAATGCTTAAGAGTATTTACTTCTGTTTTTAAATTTTGCTATTGAAAACTTTAGAAAATATCTAAGGAAATAGATAGGATTTTACCTTAAGCAAATCAAGTTTTTGAATATTTATTGTTATAATACTTAATATATTATTTTATTTAGTATTATATTTTAAAGTGAGATCTTTTCTCATTAAATGATATTCTATTTAATTCATGGGAATTGGTGAAAATTGTTTAATGATAAGTGATTATTGAGCTTAGTGAAGCAGGCAACTTTTGATATTTGAGTACAGACTATTGTTATACAAAGAAAACTGCAAACTTTTTGAGTTAGGGATTTCTTTTTCTCTGTGAACTATATATTTCCTTCTATTTTTTCATTGCTTGAAATAATTCTGTTTGAAGGTAAAATGGCATAGTGTCTTGTATTCAATTTTTACTTTAAAAACTAAAATCAAAGAATTTGTATCTTTTGCTCTCATTTTCATGTGATGACTATATAAATATGAAATTTGGTAAGTGAATTAGTTCTTTCTTTGGGGAAATCTCTGTTCTACAGGAGAACCATTTGATTTCACTTAGAATGATTTCTGGATTAGTCACTACAAGTAGCACAGTCTTTGTAAATGGCTTTTTTTTTAACAACATGGATCCAAAATATATGAATTTAGGACAGTAATAGTTGTTCCTAACAGTCTAAGATGTTAATGAGTGCTTTTCCATTTTCTTTTAAATTTTATACTATAAAAGATCATGCTCCTCAGGAATCATTTGAGGAAATAGAAGAGCTAAGAATAAAAATTATTAGATATTTATAATTTAAAAGATTTTTTTTTAAACATTTAAAATATTTTACTCTTATAATTTGGATTTAGCTCTCTTTCCTTCAAGCAAAAAACCTCATAAACCCAAGCACAAGTACAAAGGTAAATCCAGTTGTCAATTTGACCTGCCCTTTTCCTCACCTCTCCTCTAAGAAAATAGCTTAATAAAATGTGCCTTTTGGAAAATGGAGCCAGTGGCCTGCATATTTTCTATAGCTATTAGTTATTATTTCCTTTCTCTTCCTTGTAGCCATAGTTTATTTTTACCCCCGTTATTTCTTTTTATCCTGTTCCTTTAACTCTTAACAATTTTTGATGAAAGCTTTGGCACTTTTTAAATTTTTAACAAATGGTCTGCACTTCCCTGATTCCTCCCACCCTTAAAAAGATGTATTCTCTCATAATGCATCTTTACCATTGACTGGAATAATTCTGAATATTTTAGTGACTACTTAATTGTATAACGTCATAGAAAACTTACTAGATTTTTCTGATTTGTAAGGTCTGATAGTTTAGTACCTGTCTGTGGCATGTGTATCCTACTTAATGCAGAAACAGAATAAACAGTGATATTTTACGGGATACTGAATCTGTAATTAAATTCCTTTTGCTGTGTGTCCATCAGATATTCATTTAAAAACTTCAAGGGATTTAAGAACAATATATTAAAAGAAAAAGCAGAACATATTTAGTTTGTTGTGTATCATGCAATGCCTGTCATCATCACAATAGAAGCTACTATTTATTACGTTCTGTGTGCCAGGCGCTGTGATAAGTGCTTTGTATTCATTTCTTTATGTAATTCTTATAATGGTTCAGTGAGGAAGGTAGCATTATCTTTGTTAATAAATGAGGATAGTGAGGCTAAAATTGAATTAAATGATTAGATGATACCACTAACAGCTTCTCCAGTTAGTTGCTTAATAAACTATTTGATTTTGGTATTTTTCAGGAGCTCAGAGATTCTTTAGGCTCCAGAAAAATCCAGATTGATTTTTATCATGTCTTTCTCAAACTTCTACTGATTGCCTACTTCTATATATCAGACATTCTTAGGACTTTCATAGGGCAGAAAGATGTTAAGATGCAGTTTCTATCCTCAAAGAATACAATCTAGTAGGAAAAGGAGATCAATGATTGAAACACAATGATAACTAGATCTACAGAAAGAACGATGATATACCTAAAGTTTATTGAACTATTGATGTCTGGCATCATAATAATGTGATTGATAAATGTTAACCGATTATTATATTTTACTTATCTCTAATCAACCTAGAATTCAAATGAATAGTATATGTTTAGGCCTATGCCAAATACTGCTTTATGAGAGGGAAACAGTAGTATTCCCCAACTGACCATTCAGAGGTACCAGTGGCTTCAGTCAATGCATGCAGCAGTTATTTAAGTATTAAGCGAGCACCTCAGTGTGCCAGCTGTTGTGCAAGCAAAAGCCGGAATGAACAAGATGAGTAGGTCTCTCTCCTTTCACAAAGCTCCTAGTCTCTCTCAAATATATTGTTCACTTGAACCACAAAACACAGCAGATGATTTGGTATTATTCTAGGTGCATAGGAATTAAGTTAATTTCATTATATAATTTTTCTCTAAGAAGATAAATAACCAGGCAGTTGTAATATGACTGTACGGCTGTGATTAGGGATGTTTAGGAACATATAAAATTATTTAATCCAGGTTTGGCAGGCCAGTGATATCTTCCAGAGGAAAAAGTCTCTAAGCTGAGCTTGAAACAGGTGTTAGGCAAGTGCTTCAGATGAAACAACACGTGTGAAGGAATGAGGCAGGCAAGAACAGGATTTTTTCTGGTAATTAATACAGAGTGAAGATAGACTTCAGGGTGTGGAGGTAGGAATTGTAAAGCAAGGTAAACTAGTGTGAACTCTGTTCTAAAGGCAGTGGGGGAGCATGCATGATTTTAATCAGGGGATAACATGATCAGAGTTACATTTTAGAAATATTACTTTGCTTGTAGTTTTGCAAACTAGAGATGGGGTGACTATTTATTTTGATGGCTTGTTAATCATTCTTAGGAGAAATGATAGTCACCCATAATAAAGAAGCATCAGGGAGAATACAGAGTGGGTAGATTCTAGAAAAATTTATGAGAGAGACTTTATAGGCTTTTGGTTGATATGGAGAGACAAGGAGAAAGCCAGGGATTTTGTCCAGGTTTCTGGCTTGGGTACCTGAGTGGATGGTGCAAAACTGAGGGGACACATAGGATTTACTTACCACTTCATTTGCTTGATTTTTTTGTTTGTGTTTTGTTTTTCTAGGAGGTAGATAAGTAATATAGCTGGTGTATTAGTCTTTTTTCATGCTGCTTATAGAGATATACCCGAGACTTGGCAATTTACAAAAGAAAGAGGTTTAATTAGACTTACAGTTACATGTGGCTGGGGAAGTTCTCACAGCCATGGCAGAGGGGGAAAGACACTTCCTACATGACGGTAGCAAGAGAGAATGAGGAAGAATTAAAAGTGGAAACCCCCGATAAATCCATCAGGTCTCATGAGACTATGTATTTATTATCACGAGAATAACGTGGGAAGGACTGGCCCTTATGGTTCAGTTACCTCCCACTGGGTCCCTCACATAACACTTGGGAATTCTGAGAGATGCAATTCAAGTTGAGATTTGGGTGGGGACACAGCCAACCATATCAACTGAGTTCCAGTGAAGAAGGAAAGAAGTACCTATTTCAGCCGAAACTTACTGTAAGTAGTTTTGAATCTGGGATGGTAGAAGGATAGACTTTTCATTAACAGAAATGAATAGGAAAAAGTAGGTGGTTTTGGAGATAAGCCTCTTGTTGAGTATCTTTTAAAGTGGAGCATACAAGTAAAGCATCCTGTAGGCAGTTAGGAGTTAGTACTGGGTTATGTATGAGGGTTAGGAAGTTATAATGAAAATTTTGAAAGCAGCAACATAGGGGATTTTGCTAAAGCCTTCAGGGAGGATGCCTTCTCACAGTGAAGGCATGGAGAGAAAGAGGATGGAATGGCTTTATTTAGAGAGTTCTCTTTTCCTGAGGAGAGGCCATGTTGGGAAGGAAGCTGAAAGTCTCAAGAATGTGAAAGGAGAGTAAAGCAATGTTGGAATGTGAGTGGTGGTAGGCTCAGGAGTGAGAAGGCAGGTAGAGGAGCTTCCGAAAAGGGAAAGGTCACTTGGCACAAGTTGCTGAAGCTCCGGAGAAGTTGAGAATTGATTAAGGCCTTTTTTTGGATTTTCCTGGAAGGCGATTATTGATGGCCTTTGAGACAACCCTATATTTCCTTTTTGTTCTCAATGATTTTGCCACTCATTGACCCCATTCCTGCCTCATACCTCCCTTTTCTTTTTTATTATTGGCTTCAACATGACTTTCTACAACCCCTCATGTTTTATAAATTAACCCAGGAATTCTTTTATAGCCTCCTGAGAGGCAGGCTGTAATTCATTCCTTATTTTTACTTCCAGTGAGACCTTGAAAGTGAATCTGCCTAGATAACAGATCAGCAGGGATGACTACATACTGCCTTGTAGCAATTCCATTGATGTCTTTATGTTCAGTTATTTATATCAGAGCATGTGATTATGAAGGAAAGACAAAAAATACAGGGTCTAGGTTAACTCAGCAGTAGCCACATGCAGGATATAAAGTATTCTCATCCTGAAAATTCTTGCAAAACAGTGTGTCCTGTTTTGCTGCAGTTTAGTATGTATTGATTCTGACCTTCACCCTTCATGCAGTAGAACCTGAATGACTTTTGTTTGGTAGATGCAAAACCCAGAGTCTCACTGAATTTTGTGCATGGATATATGGTCACACATCAGTGAACATAACTGTAGTAGTACCAGGCTGAGGGTGATAGAAGGAAAGTTTGTTAATAACTGGTAGTAGTTTTTTAGCTCAGAAGAAAGAGGGACAAGCAAAAATAATTGGAGTGATATTTAACACTTTAAGGAAGCAGTGTGATGTTCAAATAGGCCTTCAAAGGTAAGAATCTTTATGGAGAGGAGGATGGCAAAGAAGGACAGGTAACGATGTGTTTCCAGAAAGCAGATATCCCGCAGCATGCTCAGAGATTAGAAAACGGGCATCTTTGAGTGGAACACTAGATTCATTAGGGAAGGCTGAAGTTACTGTTGGTGAGATCTAATTAGAGAGCCTAGAATGTCCTTTTAATTCACAAGCCGTTGGGGAACATAGCTTGGGGAGTTATGCAGTTAGTGTTTTTTTGAAAAGTTTAGTTAACATGGTGGTGCCATACAGGTAAAATTGTAGAAAGGTCTGTTATTAGGATGCAGTAAGTTACTGGTTCTCAACTAAAGGTGAATTTTGCAATCTTGGAGACATTTTTCGTTGTCACAACTGAGGTGGAGAGAGATGGGATAGGCCTATTGCCATCTAGTGCATAGAAGCTAGGGATGCTGCTGAACATCTTATAATACAAGGGATAGCTTCCCACAGCAAGAGTTATCTTGCCAAAAATGTCCGTAGTGTCAAGGTTAAGAAACCCTGCTGGCTTATGCTACAGTAACAAATAACCCCAGATTCTTAATAGTTTGAAACAGTAAAGATTTATTTATTGCTTGGACTTGCTGTACATACCTATACATCATCCACATTCTGGAATCCAGGCTGATGGAGCTACCGCTGTCTGGCACATGACTCATACTTTATTGGCCAGGACTTGTGACAGAACCCCTCCTAACCACAGAGAGGACAGTAATTGCAATCCTCTCACATCTCCAGAAAGAGGCAAACTATAATATTGACCAACAGCATTAGTTACAACTATGGAAGGCTACCTTGGAATAGAGGAGTAGTAAGTAAGAGAGAAACCAGTTTCTCACTGATTGCTTTTAATTCTTCAATTTTTGTCCCTTCAGTAAAGTAAAATCACAGTATATACAGAATAGGATTGGTAAAATGGAGCACAGGCTGGGCACAGTGGCTCACACCTGTAATCCTAGCACTTTGGGAGACCAAGGCAGGAGGATTGCTTGAAGCCAAGAGTTCGAGACCAGCTTGGGAAAAAGAAAAAAGGAAGATATTCTGTCTCTACAAAAAATTAAAACAAAAAACTAGCCGGTAGATTCCGTGTCTTTGCTGTTGTGAGTAGTGCTGCAATGATGAGCATATATGTGCACTAATACAGGAACAGAAAACCAAATACCACATTTTCTCACTTGCAGGTGGGAGCTAAATGATGAGAACACACAGACACATAGAGGGGAACAAGACACACCGGAGTCTGTTGGAGGGTAGCGGGTGGAGAGAGGAGAGCATCCAGAACAACTAAAGAATACTAGACTCAATATGTGGGTCATGAAATAATCTGTATGACAAACCCCCATGACACAAATTTACCTATATAACCTGCACATGTACCCCTGAACTTAAAAGTTAAAAAAAAATTAACCGGGCATGGTGGACACCTGCTTGTTGTCCACCATGATTCACTCAGGAAACCAAAGTGAGAGAATCACCTGAGCCCAGGAGCTTGAGGCTGCAGTGAGCTGTGATCACACCACTGTACTCCAGTCAGGATGACAGAGAAGAAATACTGTCTCAGGAAGAAAAAAAAAGGAGAGAGAGAAAAAGATGAAATGTTGCCAGATGATGCAGTAATTCTGTGCTGTTAAGCCGATTCCAGACCTGAGCTTCCCTTGTGTTTTGGGGGAACATTATAGGTTCGTCTGGGTATTGTTCTTAGCTGTTCAAGTAGCTGGCCAGGCCCTGGGCACTCTGAACCTGCAGTATGAGCAGGTGCTTCCATTTATCTCTGTGTACCATGCATGCATTATAATTTAATATGTCAGTGAGGTAGAAAACCTTGGGAACTCCGCATTAAGCAGTGGGCTGCATTTGTTTAACAATTATAATTAGGACTGAAAATTATCTATTTTAGAAACAACTCTACTTGTAGAATAGAAGGTAGAAACATACTAGGAAGACTCACATGAAAGCTATCCTAAGGGTTTAGGTTAGAAAAGATGAAGATTTTGAATGACAGCACTCTTGAAAATAAATAGGACGATGTGGAGATAAAGATGGTTTATTTAGAGATGTGGAATTGGATTTAGAACATGTCAAATAGAGTTGATTAATAAGAAATTAGAAATGTTGAACTCAGAAAATAAGGTGCCAGAATCCGGCTCAGTCACACAAGTATTTATAGAGCACCTACTAACTGCCAGCTGTAACACTAATAGTATCTGGGAACTCTGAGAGAGTAGAAGTCCTGGGATGTGACGTGGCTGAATACATTTCTTTTAGGAGTGGGAGTTAAACAGTAGCCAACTTGGCATCATTGTCACCCTTCCTAAATTCTCTTCTGCATCGTAGAGGAAAAATTGAGCACTATGTTTTTTCAGAATGAAAGACTGACAAAGCACTCAGAAAGTTTTGCAAGTAGAAGAGGAGAAACTATTATTGTTGACAGTGTAGCATTCAAATGGGTGGACATCAGACTAGAAGCTTCTAAAAGCTTCTTGAGAATTACCATCTCCATGCTGCAGACTGAGAATATCTGATTGCTAACCTTAATCACTCAACTTTCCAAGGGTTGAATAAGCCTTTAATTGTATATATTGGAGTATACAAAGTGACTTCCTTTTTTCAGTTGTAATCATGATTATTGACATTTTCTTAGCATCCTGAACTCTCCATCACACTTTTATAATTTGTGTAATTTTATTTTGTATTTTTCCTGTTAAACTATAAGCTTCATGGGATATGTAATATCTATTCAGCAAACTGTCCCTAACACCTAACATGGTCTCTCACCACTTCCTAGATTTGTTGAGTACTGAATGCTACAGCAGAAAAGCAGAAATAGAAAAGAATGTATGGAAGGACATTTTGATCAACAAATTCAAATTTTCATGAAGTGGTTAAGCAGAAATGGGCCAGGAATAGCTATTAAACTTAGTGATTTGAGAGACCATGGACTTTTATTAAAAAGCACTGTCAGAAGAGTGGTTGGGGTTGGGATTATAATTGCAAGGCTTCAGAATAGTCAGTAGTGAAAAATCAAAGCAATTTGTTCAGACTATACAAATGGGTTGGGGCAGAAAAGTAGCTTAGCTAGAGCACTGAGGTAAAGAAAGCATCTTTCTGGAGAAGTGGTCAAATTATAAAGCAAAGAACAACAGCTGATGGAGATAAGTAAATGGCTAATGCTGGAGAAGGAGATATTAATTGAAACAGCAAATTCCTCCGCTCCACAAATTGTAATGCACTGTAAACACAATTAGACATTGCTTCCCAAACTATCATCCTAGAACGGAGTTAGTTTACAGCTTTCACTGTCTTATGAAAGTATTAGAGATATAATGGCAATATGATGTTTTCAGTTGGGCTAAATGTATTCAGTTTATATTAGGTACTTCCTTCATTTGGTGTTGCATTGACTTGCTGTTTTAAATTAAACTGTTCAGTAATGGTTGTTGATGTTGCTGTCCTAAATGCCCCTTTTTGAAAAATAAAAAACCATTAACCTTATTTCAGTTCACCCCATCAGTTTTACTTTTTAATCTGCTTCACAAAATGTAAAAGTCTGAGAACTCACTGCTTTATGTATTTAGAAGGAACAAAAAAAGACAAGCTGTCTTAAATTTTTGTCAGTGTTTGAAATCTGAAGTAAGTAGAATTTATTAAATGAAAACCAACATAACATTTCTAACAAATAATGGGAGGAAAACAATTTTATTTTAGATGAAGATCGCCTTTCTAGAAGAAAAAGCATTGTGGACACCGTATCCATTCAGGTGGATATTTTATCCAACAATGTTCCTTCTGATGATGTGGTAAGTAACTTTAAGTTTATGGTAGAGTACTGTCTTGGTGAACATCATTTAAAAGAATGTTTTGCTTTCCACACTTTCAAACAGGAGAAAATACAACTCTAAATTATTCTCAACTAAATTATTAGTAGAATTAATCTGATTTAGCTTTGAATTTATTTGTAATTTATTTTACTGAACTCATTTCAGCTGTCTGTAAAGATATATAAACCTAACATTATATGTTATGAAATTATCTGATTTCACAGTATAATATAGTGTAATTAAAATAACTGTAAAGTATAAGTTTTGTTTTGTTTTGTTTTTTGTAGGAAACTTTATAGAAGGCCTGTCATTAAATTAGTGGGCCCTCTAGATCCTGCTTATTTTTAAAAGTTTAGGAAATGCAAATTACAAAAACAGAACTATACATTCTCACATGAAACCAAATGCTCACTACCTTTAAAAGGTTTTAGAACTTCATCTTTGAGGGAAAATGTTTTAATCATTTTGGATAGTAAATATAATGAATTGGATGAAGCTTAAGCTGTGTCAGTGAACTGTGTTCTCTGTATGGACTTATGTGGCTTATTTAAAACATCATAGATTTAATGCTGCCCACCCGTTTGAAAAAGCACAAGAGTGTACCTTCCTGAGTTATAGGGAAAAAAGCAGACATTATTCTCTAGGACTTATTCTACATAAATCACCAGAGAATTTTTTCATGGTCAAGTAAAAATGCCAAAATGCCAGCATGTCAAGTCATCCTCCACCTATGGTTTATCCATTGTTTGCCTCCTAGGTATTTTATTATTTCTCACTGATGTAATATGCATAATTAAAAGGGCATCCATATAGGGAAAGGGAAAGGGAAAGGGAAAGGAAGTTGCCTGAGTTTATGCTTTCTCAGCCTCTCTCCTACCCACTTCCAATTCCTATTGATTTATTTGTCTTCAGGTATTAAAACTATTTTGTGGCCAGAGTACAACCAACTGACTTATGTTTTCTATGCCATTCAACTTCCCATTATGTAGAATTTATCAGTTTTATTAAGAAGTTACCAGCCCGGCATCAAAAGTAGTTGAAGAAGTACTTAGTGTTCATTTAGAAACTCAGCACATTAAAGCTGGTTTAAAGTTCCTTACCAATTTAAGGCTTGATAACAACCTTTCCTAAATTTACCTCTTCAGATTTGTTTAATTTACACACTCCTTACTAGTAAGAAGAGTATCTTGCTAGTTCTGTCTTACAATGATTATGAATTTGCTGTTATTACCTTTCTGGGGAAGACATTCATCCAAAGCCTTAGTTTAGAAACTTAATTTTGTTAAAAGTACAGTATGTTTTATTGACTGGTATTTTCACCTTTCTCCTTTTGTTAACTATTCTTATTTCTTTCAAAACTATATAGAGAGCACTTGAAACTGTTGGAAAGAGTCAGTCTATTTTGATAAAATCAACTGAAAAAACTTTTGCATAAAGACTCAATACAGGGGAAAGATTCTTGACATAAGTTTTACATTAAAAGTCTGTAAATATTGTATTACCTTTTAAAAGATCCTGTTGTTTTTCATTTACTGTAAGTCCTAAGTCAAATATGCCGGACACCAAGCATCTGAAAAGTTAAACAGTTTAGTATCACGTTTAATTGAGCACATTTAGGTTTCAGACTCATTTGCGATTGTGGAATCTGCTTTTGTATGTATATTAGAGATGTTTGTTCAAATACCAGAAGACAGAATACTACCACCTTCTAGGCTAAAGCTAATTACTTTCATGTGATGGGCAGGAAAAATTCACATCAGATGGATATTCACCAGTTAATGGTGTAGCAAAATATCAAACTGTTTTCTTAAAATAAATCAGATAAGAGAATTGCTCATAAAAATTACTTTTTTATTTGATCAAAATTATTCATTGTTTTATATGTATAATCCTAGTTTATCCTCAAATGTATTTGCTTTTGCTTTTTAAACTTATTATTTTTTTAAAAAAAGAGAGTGTCAGGTTGTTTAGATGGAGAACGTAACAAAGTTTTGTTTCCCTAGATAACCTCAAATTGCTACTCTAGTCTATTGAAATACCTGGTCCACTTGAGATTGCCAGTTCTAACATTACAATTCCAACCTCAGCCTACTGAGAATCATTTGGTGAACTTTTTCTAAAAATTGCCCTATATAAAAAGATGCGTATTATTATTTCTTCTAAATAATACATTATTTCTTCTAAAAATGTGCTGATGCCATAAAATGTATTATTAACATTTTTATCATAAAGCAGTTGATTTCATATTGTTTACATATCTCAAAGCTAGTGGGAGATTTGAGAGACTCAAGGTAAAGTTTATTTTTAGAGATTGTAAATTGGTGGTTGACTTTAGAGGAATACTTCCCAATGCATGACTTTAGAGGAATACTTCCCAATGCATATATATGCAACTACACACGCGCACACACACACACACACACACACACACACATATAATAGGTGTACATACACATATTTTTAATAATGATGCCTAATTTAAATTAACATATTCAAGAAGATAAATGACTAAAATAGAATAGAGGCACCTCTGCCTCCTGAGATAAAATTATCAGCTTGACTCATAGAATAAAGCACTATAGGAATGATTTTTGGCTTCCTTATATACGCATAATGGACATGAGTAAAACCTGAAATCACCACACTAAAAAGCTGTAAGCTTAACATTAGTGCTTGGTTATTTAAGTGCATTAATAGGATGTTATATATATTGCATTTTGAATATATGTTAAATTTTTAATACAAAGTTAAGTCACCAGTTGACTGCAAAAGGTTGTTGTTTATTCTAGAGCAAATAACAGATCTTTGTCTTATATATATGTACTCCTGCCTTTTTCTCCAGATATGACTGGAGAAACTTGGGTGTGTGCTAGCATCTAGTCAATATTAGTCACACCTGTGGTGCTAGGTGCTATCCAATTACTATGATATTAGTGGAAATGACATAGTAGCTACTATAATTAGAAAAAGATGAATGGCAGATTTCATGCAGGCCCAAAGGCATTATATAGTCTAGGTAATAGATAGTAGATAAAGCAAAAGTCACAAATATAAAGGGAATGTTGAAATTCTTTTAGAATGATGCCTTTGCACTACTTCTCCATAACTCCATCATAACTGGTTTTTCCTCTAGAGTTGGAACAGATTATAGTTTGGTAGATCACCAAATAATGTGCGTAGCTTGTATTTGCCAGCTGTGGTGTATAAAATGTCAACCTATAAATGGTAGCATAAAGCAGTTAAAAAAAAAAGATTTCACAAAAGGGAAGAGTGGGAGATAAGATTGAAGCAAAATTATAGAAAGCTATATACCAGGCTGAGGTAGGAAGTAGGTAAGCACCGAAATTTAGATAGTGTCATTATTAGAGCTGTGCTTTCATAAAAGGAATCTCTCAAGTGTGACAAGATTGAATTGGAAAGACGAGACTAGAGTTAGAGGCCTGTCAGGAGATCCTTGTAATAGTCCATACTTGATGGAATGAGGATCTAGAGTAGCCAGGCTAGAGGTAACAAAGATGGACAGGAAGGCAAGAGTACTCTACTCTAAAGTAGAATGAATAGGACCAACAAATGACTTAAAGGGATTTAAAGAAAGAAGATGTTAAAAAAAAAAAGTCGACACTGATGGCATGACTTGAGGGTTCTTGATGCTAGAAAGCTGCATCATAATTTTCTGAATTAAGGCAAAGGGGGAAAAAGAGAAGAGTTAGTAGGGTAAGGTACTTTAGCTCTTATCTGAGATTGACAGGTAGTGAGTAAAAATTATACGTAATAAGAATGATGGCCTTCCAACTTCTCCCATGTTCTTTTTCCTATACTGTAGTTGTTTCTCAAAAGTCAGAAGCTCCTAGCCAATTCTAAGAACAACAGCAAATTCTTTTTTTTTCACTGAGTACTAGAATGCTTATAAGTACAACCAGCCAGAGCCTAATCGTATGTCTGCTTCAAATATCTAGAACAAAACAACTGAAGATTCCCAAGTTTAATCTGACTTGAACTAGAAATATGAACCCTCAGTAGCAAAACTGAGGGAGTGGAACTCTTGCTACTTGATTTCCAGCCAGCTAAAGCCTTTGATTTAAAGAGAAGCTAAGGTGCAGAGGATGAAGTCTTGCTATCATTAGTCTTGCTGCCTTCTTAGACTTAGCAACAGAGGCTCATGAGCTAAAATTAGGGATAACGAGAGTTCCAGGCAAGTACTCATGTATCATTTCTTAATTTTTATTCATACATACTATAGGAACTGGATATATTATTTCTCCTGAAAATGTGCTGATGCCATAAAATGTATTATTGGCTTTTTTGTCATAAAGCAATTGATTTCATCCCTTTTTACCTATCTCAAAGCAAGAGAGACTTGGAAGATGCAAGTTAAAAGGATAATTTCAAAGATTATAAATTGATGGTCAACGTTAGAGAAATACTTCCCAAAGTAGTGGTTCTTAACTTTTAAATCATTTAAAATCTTAGTTTTACTTTTGACTTGTAAACTGTGTGTGGTACCAAATTTATAGAGGCTGTAGAGTACTTAGTTCTTTTTTTATCACATGGCTAAAAATGTATTTATGTGTAATCTCAGCCTTCATTATCTCAGATCATTGTTTACTTACAGTACAGTGTTCAGTTAATGGGACTCAAATCAGACATCACAGTACTGGAGACTGAGTTCTGTAATTCAAGGGTGGTTTTGTTGTCTAGGGTATGCTAATTATTCCAGTCTGATGCTAATCAGACTTAGCACTTATTTTGGGGAACCACTGCAGTAGGCCATTGTTAGAACCAATGAAAAAGTGGAGATTATTTGGTACTGTGGCATATAATGACAGCTCAGACCAACCCAACAAAGCAAACAAGTCTGAAAAAGGTCTTAGATAACTTGTAACTAGGTAAAGGTGTGATTTATACTGACCCTTTTTAACTCTTGATTTCACTTAAAATCACTTTTCTCTAGGTTAGTAACACTGAAGAAATCACTTTTGAAGCATTGAAGAAAGCAATTGGTGAGATATTTTGTACTTGTTAGTACTGCCAATATTTAACTTATCTTTATTTGGTACTTTTTTCAATGACAGAGTAAGCAGAGGTGGCATTACAAAAACAAAACCAAAAAAACTTGTTGATTCCTATATAAATGTATCATTTAAACTACATTCTTTAGGCTTCAAAATTGTCTTGTCCCATCACGGTCATATTCTTGAATAGACACAATATTGGCAGGGATATTTAAAAAAGACATTTATTAATTTGCTTTCTCACAAACTTTGGCTATACCATACATCATCATAAGACCAAAACAATCCCTTTTCAGATTGTGGTAAATAAACGGAAAAGGCTACAACAACACAGTTCCAAAGGACCCCATTAGTATTTCAGTTATTCCACTCAATACCAAGATTCAGTTGAGCAGGTATTTTATTTAGTGTCTCACCTGTGCAAGGGCATAGTTATATAAAAGAGTCCTTCAGGAAGGACCTTGACGCAATTCGACTTGTAGGAAGCTCCTGTTCCCTTGCTGTGTTTTGGTCAGAGAGACAATGGTATTATATGAAAGAGAATCTTATACTGTAGAGTTTTAACCTTAGAGTTTTTCTTTCGTGTGTGTGCCTTAAACAAGACATTTCACGGATGTTGTGCCTTATTGTTTTTTTCTTGTAAAAATAGCCCTGTAAATTGTTTTTATTTTTGGATGTTATATCATTAGCTCTTAATGGTCATTAACTGGGTCTGTGAAATTCTGTATTCCTTTTAATGAGTATAAACATTTATGTAGATACCAGTGGAATGGAAGAACAGGAAAAGGAAAAGAGGCGTCTTGTGATAGAGAAATTTCAGAAAGCACCTTTTGAAGAAATAGCAGCACAGTGTGAATCCAAAGTAAGTGAACAAAGGGTGAAGAGATTGTGGGTGGACTGTGGTTTTATCGCAACTCTTACTTGGTTCTGTTGATTTGACTTAAGTTCCAAGTTTTAGTCAAATCAACGGAACATAGGAAAATATATCAGACAAGAACTGAAAACTCTGAAGGCATATCTGTGAGGCCTAAGTAATTTCTTTATGTGATGTAAGCTGATGTAAATGGTAGAACTGTTTCCCCAAATTAAGTGTTAGTGATTGTTACTGCTTTGATAGTCTTTTTTATAGTGGTTTTCTGTGATCTTGCTGCAGGTATTTTGTTTTGTGTGTTTGTTGACTTGTTTTTAAGTGAGACTGGGAAGGGGAAAAAAGACAACCCTTATATTAAATACTAATTAGATAGCACAGATCAAACCAAGAATTAAAGCATTGTATACTTAATAATTAATCAGCTTAATAGTCACAGTTACACTTTGTCTCTTAAATTACATTGGTATTATTACATGTAGATACTTAGAAAATAATCCTTAACATTTTTTTCTTTTTTGCAGGCAAATTTGCTTCATGATAGACTCGCTCAAATACTGGAACTCACCATACGGTAAGGGTTTTGTTATCACAATAGTAATAACTCACACACACGAATAGAACTTGTCAGACCCCTATGAATTTGTGGTTCATTATTTTAAGGTAATATGTTAAAGTAATGCTTATTATTTAGGATTAACATAAGATCGTACAGGTAATCCTTGACTTAATAGTCATTCTTTTTATTAGGCAGAGTCTGATACCCCTTCTTGACTAGTTGTCTTCTAGCTTTTCTAGCTTCTTTTTTAGATTATTCATTTCTTCCAGATGATCTTATAAGGACATCTGGGTAATTTGAAAGACCCATATTCTAATCTTAGATTTAAATAAGAATATGCTCATATTGAATCATTTGATCTGCAAAACAAAGCATTTTAATATGTCAGCCTCATGGTTCTTTTCAGGGCAGTAATAAGTCTAGATATACAGATGGCTCATTTCAATTATTGAACTTTCCTTTAGCTTTTTTATATAATATTCATTTGAGTTCTGTTGTGAATTATTATGCTCTTTGATTGTTCTTCGTCTATACATTAATAAGAAATGTAGCACCTGAAGAAAGGAGAGGCAAACTCCAGGTTCCATCTAAAGAAGGAATTTTCACATAATCTTATACTGACTTCATTGTGGAAACCCACCTTTGTGACAGGTGGCCAGTAGAGATAGCTGTGCTTCTGGAAATTTTTTCTGTATCAGCTGTATCTTTTATGTTTTTAACTTGATTAATTCTATTTTGCTTCAACCCTGTATTATATTAATATTAGAGAAAGATAAATGCTCTAGTCCACTTGCTTTTTTGTCTTTTTTCTGCTTTCATAAGCAAGGCACATTTTTGTCATTATATGTCTTACTCTAGACACTTCCCCCCCATTCATTGCTACCCTCTCTAAGTTTAGATCACTCATTTACAAAATTTAAGAACAGAAAATCAGACAAAAATATTCAATATGTGCTAAACAAGAGGTCCCCAACCCTCAGTCCACAGACCTGTGCTGGTCCATGGTCTGTTAGGAGCCAGGCCTGACAGCAGGAGGTGAGCTGTGAGCAGGTGAACATCGCTGAGCTCCACCTCTTGTCGGATCAGCAGGCATTAGATTCTCATTGGAGCAGGAACCCTGTTGTGAACTGCTTAGGTAAGGGATCTAGGTCGCATGCTCTTTATGGGAATCTAATGCCTGATGATCTGAGGTGAAAGTTTCATCCTGAAATCATCCCTCCAACCCCCACCCATGGAAAACTGTCTTCCACAAAACTGGTCCCTGGTGCCAGAAAGGTTGGGGACTGTCGTGCTAGACTTAGGATTCAGTTAAAATTGCTGGGTATGGGCATTTACTTTTTTGATGTCTAAACATCAAACATTCGATACTAAATATTTGCTGTATACTTGATCTTATGATCATGGTTTATATCTGTTATTTCTGCTAATCCTCACCATAGTCCTGAAAGGTAGGTAGACACTGTTTTTTTCATTTTTCAGGTGAAGACACCAAGGCTTAGAGAAAAGTAAAATAACTTGCTGAAGGTCATACAGCTAGTGAGTGGCAAAGTCAAAATTCAAACCCCTAACTTGATGTTCTTAAACGGAATGTTGCTAGAGATCACCATGTTACTTTTAGTCAAACTAACATAACTATATGAATTTAATATTTTAGAATAAGTGTTATAACTAATTTTGTTTCATTGGTACCACAACTACTACTAATAGTTAGCACTCATTGAACAGTTACTACTACTAATTAACATTTATTAAACACCTATGTTGTTCCAAGCACTGTGCTAAATGTATTTTTTTATTTAATATCTGCAACAGATCCTAACAAACAGATAGTAATGATTCTCATTTTACATGTTTATAAACAGAGATACATAAAAGTTAGGTAACTTATACTGGGTCACCAATTTAGTATGTAGTAGCCCTGGAATAGCTTATGGAGAAAGTAAACAGACTTTATAGAAATGTGCCTTCACAATTTTCAGGTCCTGTGTGATACATTTCCTCTTGTTAATTTGTCTCACCCTGATCATCAGACAGAGGAAAGAGTTTGTATTCCCCATAAAAGAAACAAAACACAATATTACACTTCACTCCCACTGTTCTTTCCTTTTACTCTGACCTGAGTATGGTTAAAAACACAAGAAAGGCAAAGAAGCAGTAAAATACAGTGAGAATAAGCAGCCTCACAGATAACCGAGTTATTCGAATTAGTAGAAAAAGCTCTTAAAACACCACACTCCCTCACCCCCTCCTCGGCCCCACACACAAACATCAAAGAATTTAAACGACAAGATACATATAGTTTGGGAAGAAATGTGTGTGGCAGCTGCCTATTCTCACCGTAGTTTCCTGTTTCTTTGCATTATAATTGCAAATTTTAATGTTCCTCTCATAAGAGTACTAAAACATAAGAAAACAAAAATGCAGAAAGGATATAAGATTTGAACCATCTCAATCAATCTAAGTGACCTTTCAAAAGCACAAGACTAGGCAACTACAGAATATAGATTATTTTGAAGTGCATATACGATATTCACAAAATAGACTAATGTGGGACTATATAACAAGTGCAAGTAAATGTCAGGAAACTGACATGTTAAGTCACCAAGTTGAGTATGTTCTCTTGCCACAAAAGAGAACATACTCTTGCCACAAAAGAAATTATAATTCATTAACACATCTAGAAAATTTTCTCTTGCCACAAAATAAATTATAATTCATTAACACATCTAGAAAAATTTCAAATATTTGGAAATTAAAAGATCCCCATAGGTCAAAGAAGAAATGACAGGAGGAATTAGAAAATATTTTAAACTGAAAACACATGCCAAATTTTGTAAGATTAGGCTGAAATAGTGCACAGGAGGAATTTTATATCTTTAGATGCTTTTGCTTGCAAGGAAGTAAGATCTAAAAGCAGTGAATTAACTTCTGGTAAGACATTAGAAAAAGAAGAGCAACAGAAGCTAAACTAAGTATATCGGAAGTCAGTGAAACAGAAAATAGGCAAACAATAGAAAATATTAAGAAACCTAAAAGTTTGTTCTTTGAAATGGTTGATCAAATTGGTAAACCTCTGGTAAGTGTTAAGGAAGAAAGAGAGAAAACACAGATTACCAATCTTACAAATGAAAAAAGGATCATCTCTATAGATAACAAAGGAATATTATAAACTCTTTTTTAAAACTAAATTTAACAATTTAGATGAAATGGGCAAAAATCATTGAAAGTTAAACTTACTAAAATTGACACAAGAAGTAGTAAAACATCCAAATAACCCTACAACTGTTTTGCAATTTAAAAGCGTCCTGCAAGAAAATGCATTTAAATAATACTGGTTTCATACATATTCAGGAAACAAAGGAGGTTGAAACATTTTCTAACTCATGAGGCCAGCATAGCTTCAGTACTAAAATAAGACAATGATATTTTAAGAAAAACAAAATTATAGACAAATACCCCTCATAAATATAGTCACAGAAATCTTTAGCAAAATATTAGCAAATGTATAAAACTGATGATATGGATGGCCTAAATAAATGGGGTCACTATGAGGAAAGCAAGATCAGTTTTACATGAGAAAATTGATCAGTCAGCAAAATTCACCACATTAACATAATAAGAGAGCAAAGTTGCATGATCACACCAGTAGTTGCAGGAAAAAAAAAAAGGAATTTGAAAAAGCTCAATGTTCATTTAAGATAAAAATTATCAGAAAATTAGAAATAGAATGGAACCTAACCTGATAAAGAGTAATTACAAGAAATCTATTGTTGATGTTGTGTATAATGGTTAAAGTCTGATGCTTTTTACCTAAAACTGGGGACAAGTCAAGGATGCCTACTCTCACAGTTTAAAAAATAATTATATGAAATTAATATCTGTGCATTTATTAATTAAAATGAAAACGATCTTAACCATGAAGTAATAAATTCAAAGAACCATGTAAGACTTTCATGAAGAAACTATACATTTCTGAAATATGCTTAATATTTATATAAATGGAAACTAATCTTATTCTTGAAGAGGAAGTTAATATAGATAACAGTTTTCTGTAGACTGAGCTATCATTTTAGTAAGATCAACTTTTTTTGTATTTGAACAAATGATGCTAAGGGCAGTGTGAAAGAAACCACATAGAAGAGCAATCAGGAAAATGCTGTAGAAAAACAACAGGGAGCATTTGCCTTGCTTAGTAGGAAAACATATGACACATCTTTGGTACTTACATCAGATTGGACCTGTATATGGGTAAGTAGAAGAGAGGAAAATTCAAGTATAGAAGGTATCTGTGGTAAAGGTAAGATTTCAGATTTTCAAGGAGTTACTGTTCAGTTAATATGGCTTGGACAACTGCTAAATGCTATTGACCAGTGAAGGAGGGTCCAGGGAAGATTTCCACTGAACTTCCTTTACCAAGATAGACAACTCATTATTTAGGAGAATACATAAAAACACTAGAATTAATACAGGAGAATTTTTTGTAATCTTGATTTGGGAGCAAAGTTTTTCTTAGCATAACTCAAAAACTAAAAATTATAAAAAATAATTGCTTGTTTGGGTAAGGGTTTTAAGCATTTGGCAGCAAAAAAAAGTTGAGAATTAAATGATCAATTGGAGGAAAGCATTTGTATTATATGACAGAAGGTTAGTTTCCCAAACTGATAAGAAAATATACCTGAGTAGAATTAGAGGCAATGGGCTTCAATTAAATAGGAAGCTTAGATTTTCCATGCGTGAGGGTTAGAGGGATGATTTCAGGGTGAATACGTACCATTAATAGTAACATAAAAATTAAAATAAGAATGAATTCCCTTCTGCCTCTCAGATTGGCAAAGATTTTTTAAAAATATTTATCTGATAATTATTACAATGTAAAAGGTACAATGAAGTGCTAAAGTGTAAATTGCTGGTATTCTGACAATGTATATGTACCAAAGTCAAAATTTTGAATACAGAATTTCTATTTGTAAGACTATAAACCAAGATGGCACCAGTCAGAATAAAATTATGTATGTATAAGAATAGACTTGTGAACATTATCATAATGAAAAATGGAAATGAACCTGCCTTTGTCCACTGGATTAAATCAAGTATGATATATGTATATAATGAAATACCGTAATGTCATCTAAAAAGATAGTGTCTGTATACATGAAATAACTTTTTACTAATGAAACAACACAGCTCACAAGAACAGATAGGGTATAATCACATTTAAAATTGTAAATACATATTTTCCAAGGAAAATGCATGCTTAGACTTAAAAACAGTTTGACACTACTGTGGTCTATTTCCCAGCTACAGCCTTGTAGCTGGCCAGCAACTACAATGGCGTTGATCTCTGCAATTAAGGACTCTGACTTTGATATTTGCAGATAGTAGATAGAATACTCAGTGAAATGAACAGCTTGTAAGTACATCTGCTGATGGTGTTTTTTGTTCTTTTACAGTCCTCCTCCCAGTCCATCAGGAACACTGACCATCACTTCTGGGCATGCCCAATACCAATCTGTCCCAGTCTATGAGATGAAGTTTCCAGATCTGTGTGTGTACTGATTGGCTCATGAAGACCTCAACATATGATTTGTAAAGCCTAAAAATTAAGGCCAAGCTGAGCTTTCAGGGTTTACTTAATGTGTATTAACATACTTAATGAAAATAATGATGGCACTTATCTTTAACCAAATGCTTGACATACTGTATTAGAAGTTTTGGAGCTATATATAACTTTGAGTACTTTCGAAGATAGATTTCTGCCGTGTTAATTTGCTTTGAGGTTCTTGTTGCCTTTTAAAGTTGAACATGCTTTGATTTCACTGTATTCCACTGTTAAGGAGTATATTTTAAACTTTTCACAAAGGTAATGTTTTTTTAAAAAAGTAAGCCTTCAGAGGATTGAGACTGTATAAATTGTTTATTTCTTAAACGTCTACACAACTGCTTAGATGTAGAAATTGTTCTTTTCTGCAAAGGCAGATACATTCAAATATGTTCCTAGTCCTGGGGCTGCAAAACTGTTCGGTGGCTTTTTGTCCCCATGCTTTAGATAAGCTGGGATAGGCACCCTGCTATTCATTTACTATAATAATATGTGATAGGCATTCCTCATCTTGTTCCCAATAATATGACATCTGTTGTATAGCATTCCTTGAACATGACCCTAAAAACGCCATACTTTGAATTGTCTGGTTCTGGTAATACTGTGTTTCCTGCCAAGAGTTTGACCATTCTGCTTGAGAACTGTAGAGCTTACTCTTGGAGTACCAAACTGTGCAATATTTTTACATCATAAGATGTATTAGTTTACAGGCTATGCTTTGACATTGTAGTATTTTGCTGTGGCTCCATGAATTAAATGAGATATATATTTAGTACAGAAAAAAAGACATTTAAAACAGCTACTAGTTCACCTGTGAAGAGTCTGTACATTTTGATTTCCATTAAGAGCACATTTATTTACATTTGTATATTGTGCATTGTTTTAAATCCTTGTAGTCAAAAAGTTCTCCGGGTGGAATTTTAATTTGTAAGATTTGAACTGACTTGTATGCATCTGTTTAGAATTAGTTAGTTATACTTGAAGAGCTGCCTGTGTTTTAACAATCAAGTGTGCTGAAGTTCGTCAATTTAAGCTACTTTTGATTTCAGCTACCAAGATCACAGGTGTACTCTACACATCCACTGACAGCCCATAACATTAGGTACATCTTAGTGAATTTTATCACATGGTAAAATGAACAGCTTTCTTTGTAACTCATAAAATTCTCTTAGGACATTTTTATAAAGTCATCTGTTTATAGTTCTATCTTTTCAGATTCCTTTTTTTGCTTTTTGTTTTTGTTTTTTTTAACATAAAACAGCCTACATACCAAAAGCTGTAGCCTAGAAAACAGTTTAATTTTTGACTTTTGTTTTTGTTTAAAAAATTGCAGTGAAGAATGGGATGTTCGTGTTTATGGTTATTTGGGCACCTTTCGTAGGAACAGAAAAAAGTAGGGAAATGATAATAGGACAAGCTTACTTGAAAATTTTTGAATACTTAAACGAAAGTGGAACATCTTGAAAAACAGTCTAGTCATTGAGACCTATGAAATGATACTGAAACATCCTGGGCTGCTTATTAAATGTGGATCAACAAGACTTGTTTCAGAATGACAGTGGAGTCGTTGCCACTGGAGGACTGAAGGGCCCTGTCAGAGTTGTCACTGGAACTTTGCCTCTTGATCAGGTAAAACGCTTCACCAATCAATAAAGCCAAGTTGTTTTTTCTTTTTTTTAATTTCCCTTTTTTCCTTCTATATTTTTAAAGAAGGATATTAATTTTTGAATATATATTTTAAAAAATCTAAGCAGGGGGACATGCAAAAACAATCATCATCCACTTGGATGTCATTTTATAGATTAACACTGTGTGCTTTTGTATGGAAAAAATATATATAATTTAATAGTATAAAAAATAAAATATATATTCATTTGCACTCATGTGAAACACAAACTTTGCTCTACAAAATTTTATGTTTCTTAGTGATTTTAAAATGCATGTATTGCATGTAAAGAAAAACTGTTACAATTAATGTTTATTACACCTTTACCTTGGTCTTTGTTGATTTGGGTTTTGTTGGGGTTGTGTTATGTTTTGAAAACACAGTAGGCTTCTATATGGATTTCTGAACTGGTCTTGTTGACAAGGATTCCCAAGAAATGGATCTTTTCACTGGCTGACTCCCCCATGTCTGCAGGAGATTCTGCAGGAACTGGGTATGCACACGGTGTTGTAGCCAGTTCAGGTACTGAACATTTAGGATTTGTTGAAGTTCACTGTATTGCTATATTTTTGTAGATATATAAAACTCTTAATAAATTGTTAATCATTCTTTTTTTGCTGTATAGAGTTGTTTATATCACTCTTTCTTTCATGACATTGAATAGTTAACATTTAAATGTTCTTCCCGTACTTGTGTTGTCTGTGACCACTTATATACAGTTTTGTTGTTATTGGAGTTTACCTGAATACATATGCGCACACACACACATACTTCCTTAATACTTCTGAACTCGTTATCTTTTAGAATAATAATTCTACACTTTACCAGCAATTAACTTCTCGCTACCCAAAATGTCGGAAAATTGAACTAATTTGTCTTATTCAATGCTCATATCTGTATTAAATGTAATGAAGTTAGTTTTTTAAAATGTAAAAATTCACTGTCCAATTCATATGTAAGCAATAAAACATAAATCAGATTACTTGTATATAAGTTCATTTTTTGTAATAGCTATTATTACATTTAATTAAATTTATTCAATATTTGCTTAAATTAAAAATGAAGAGCTTCTTTTGAGCCCAGTAGTTCGAGGCTACAGTGAGCTAGGATCATGCCACTAGACTCCCGTCTGGATGACAAAGCACAACCCCATCTCAAAAACAAAAAGAAGAGCTTTAGTAAAAATTAATTTGTCAAGTGGATTCATTCCCCTACACATCGGATGTATGAGAACGATAACTGCTAGTCATGACAAGATGTAGTAAGGTAAAGTTCATAGTATGTGCTTGTGAAAGTGTAGTTGCCATCTCTGCATCAGTCTTAATGATTGTCTTTTCAATTCTACCTCCTTGCCCTATAAATTACACAAAGAGGCCAGGCATGGTGTTTCATACCTGTAAATCCCAGGTCTTTGGGAGGCCAAGGCAGATGGATCACTGGCCAACATAGTGAAACCCCATCTCTACTAAAAATACAAAAATTAGCCAGGTGTGGTGGCATGTGCCTATGATCCCAGCTGCTCGAGAGGCTTAGGCAGGACAGTTACCTGAACCCGGGAGGCAGAGGTTGCAGTGAACCAAGATCACGCCATTGCACTCCAGTCTTGGTGACAGAGTGAGACTCTGTCTCAAAAAAAAAAAAGCATCTTTATATATATTTTATATATAAATATTTTTATTTTTATGTATTATATATTTTTACATATATAAAATATATGTAAAATATAAATAAAAAATATATTTTTAAATTTATATATTTTTGTAAATTTATTTTGTAAATGTATATATTTTATAATACACATTTACAAAATGTAAATATTTACAAAATATAATGTATAAAATATATACATTTACAAAATGTAAATGTATATAATGTATAATTATTTTATTTACATATATATATACACACTCTCAGTACCCTATTCTCCCCAGTTTGCTTATTCTACCACTTACAAAGATGTGCATCATAGCCTGAATGCGGTTCGGGAACCTCCTTTGTTAGCAATGTAGCATAGCAGTGAGGAGCTCAGCGTCTTGTTCACAAATTCAGCACCACCACTACCTTACTGACCTTAGGCCAATAAGTGAACTTTGATCTGTGAAGTCCTCATCTGTAAAATGAGTATGGTAAGTTCTGCCCTCCAAAGTTAGCTGTAAGTGAATCACTTAGAAGAGTTTCCCTATGCCATGCCTACATGACACAGAGTAAGCATTCAATAAATGATTAATAATAATCATCTTTGTGTTCACTACACTGGGACATAAGCAACCTAGACAGCTCTCAGCCCTGTAATCTTAGGTCAGCCATTCCACGTTTCTGAACCTGTTACCATGGGTATAAACTTAGCACTCTGCTATCCTGTTTACATTCCTTCCAACTCTAACTTGCTGTGATCCTGTTACCTGTTCTCTCATAAAATTATTTATCTCAAGTACCAAGTTCAAATGAAGGAAAAAGCAGAGGCAAGATGGAACATCAAACTCTGCCTCTTAGAATTGCTCCAGTCAGCCTTTTACCTTTGAATCAGAGGCAGACTATCAAAAAGGCTCTGTCTTAGTCTAGGATTTTAGCCTAGGTTTCTCTAAAGCAGAGCCTGAGACAAAGTGTGTGTGCAGGTATTACTTTGGGAATTGATCTAACATGGAAGCAGAAATAGCCAATGAAGAGGATTTCTTGGTTGTCTATCACTTGAGCTCCCGACTAGCCATTCCACTGGATATTCGTCCCCCCCCCCCGCCCCGCCCTGAGACGGAGTTTTGCTCCTGTTACGCAGGCTGGCGTGCAATGGCGCGATCTCGGCTCACCGCAACCTCCGCCTCCTGGGTTCGGGCAATTCTCCTGCCTCAGCCTCCCTAGCAGCTGGGACTACAGGCGGGCGCCACCACGCCCAGCTAATTTTTGTATTTTTAGTAAAGACGGGGTTTCACCTTTTTGACCAGGATCGTCTCGATCTCTTGACCTCGTGATCCACCCGCCTCGGCCTCCCAAAGTGCTGGGACCACAGGTGTGAGCCACCGCGCCTGGCCTCCACTGGATGTTCTAAGGAGTCTCATAAAAATAATCTGTATACTACCTGGGGGATGAAAAATTGGGAAAGCATTTATTATTTGGCTTCTGTTCATGGTTTAAGGTGGCCTGTGGATCAACTCTCCCACATTTTTTGACTATATGCTTGAGTGCTGAGCTGTTACCCCAGGTGTCCCATTCAACCCCAACTCAAAAACACTTCTTATTCTCAGGGAAGTCCTGTGCCAGAAGGCGGGAAGTACAGCAGTACAGCAAGCAGGCGGGCATTGTCATTCCACCTCCATGAGGCAGTTGGAGTCTATGTGGAACTAGTTATCACAGCAGGGTCTGAAGGGATAGGTGAGGACTAGAGGATGCGAAGTCAAGCAAAAGATGTCCAAGATAGCACCATCTAGTCTGTCTCTACTAAAAATACAAAAATTAGCTGGGCATGGTGGTGCGCACCTGTAGTCCCAGCTACTTGGGAGGCTTAGGCAGGAGAATTGCCTGAACCCAGGAGGCAGAGGTTGTGGTGAGCTGAGATCGTGCCATTGCACTCCAGCCTGGGTAACAAGAGCGAAACTCCATCTCGAAAAGAAAAGAAAGAAGAAAGAAAGGAGAAAGAAAAAGAGAGAAAGAAAGAAAGAAAAAGAAAGAAAGAAAGAAAAAGAACAAGACTAAATCTAGGAGCATTTGGTTTATAATTTCGTATTTTCTCCATCTTGCTCACTGGTTTTGGCTCTAGTACCTCCTGCACCATTCTATTTGCTGACCCTTTGCTTTTCTTGTCCTACTTTACCTGCATAACAGTTATAGCTGTACACTTGTAGAATTCCTGATTCAAGAGACTTAAGGGCTGAAAGAATCTTAGAATCAGGTTCATTCAAAGATTATATTTTACAAATGAGAAGAGTGAAACTCAGACTTAAAGCTGACAGTACTCATTCACCAACTAACTTTAGTAAACTTCTGATTACGACATTAAGTTTAGTATATCTGAAAATTAGGAATACCATTCTATGCCTTGAGATAGCAAGAAAATATAAAAAGTAATCATCTCAAATATGGTAATTATAAGTCATCTAAATGAATACAAAAAACAGGGATGCAAGGCATTCAACTCAGTCTGCAGTAGGCGCCTTTTTAAAAAGAAAAAATAAGTTTTACTGAGCTATTATTCACATACCACAAAATTCACATTTTAAAGTATATAGTTCAGTGGCTTTTAAGTATATTCACAAAATTAAGCACTGATCACCACTATTTAATTCCAGAACACTTAAGTCACCAAAAAGAAAACACATATTCCTTACCAGTCACTCATTTTCCCTTCCCCACTGGGCCCTGGCAACTGCATTTCTCGAGTGACTAATGATGTGGAACATCTTTCCACGTGCTCACTGGCCATTGGCACATCTTCTGTGGAGAAATATATATTCTGAATCTTTCACCCATTTTTTATGGGGTTGTCTTTTTATTGTTTTAGTAGCCTCTCATCCCTAGTCTGCACTCTTTTCAATTTTTTCTTTTGCTGCCAGATTGATCTTTCTGAAGTGTAGGAAGCATTACTTAAAATACTTCTCAGACTTTTCTATACACAATAGAAGCCAAACTTCCTTCCCCAACATTATAAGGCTTCCGTCCTCGTTATAACACCAGCCTTTCTGTTTCCTGAGGAAGTGACTAACATGAGTCCCGTTTTGGATGTGTTAAATTTAAGGTATGTGGGGAGATTCCAAGTAACAGATACTAGCATGGGGTTGAATATTCAGGCCTGGAAATCAAAGATTCGGTAGTGATTCAGAAGTCAAAAGCATATTGACAATAATTAAAACTGAAAATGTATGAGCGTGTCCCAAGAGAGGGTTTGTGACTTCTGAAAAGTGCTGACCCCAGATAGATCCCGGAGAACACGTAGCTTTAGAAAGAGAGGCTGCGCAAGGGACCGAGAGAAAGACACCAAGAAGTTAGAAGAGCTACTTGTTCACGTGTTTGCCTGTTCCCTTTTTCAAACTATTAGGATTTGAAATCTAAAAATGTCCTAGAAAGTATATAAACTAAAGGTGGGGAAAAAAGTCTATCTCCCCACCCATTATTGATTTATGCTGTAGGGGGAGAAAATACTATCAGAATCCTGTAATCTCAGGGAAAGGATCATCTTTAAATTCCCTTCCAGCTCCAGCTTTTTGTAATTCAGTCTATAGTGTAGTGCTGTGAAGACTATTTTCACTGAGTCATAGCATGTCAGACCTGGAATAATCCTTAGAAGTCGTCAAATCTAACTCTTTTACTCTGGCCTTCTGGAGCAGAACGGGACTGTCCCCTCCCTTCCCTATGCAGCTAGCAAGACGGGTCCAAGGGAAAAGACGTGAAAGGGAAAGTGATTTAAGAAGCTAAACAGGATAGAGGTTGGTGCTTACTCTAAGACACACAGCGGGGAATGGGACATGGCAGGACTTTTAAGTTCCAATTCAGTTAAGAACTGTCAGAATCTTCTCTTAAAACAAAAGTTCACTACTTCTGCTTAACAATATAGGAAAAACCATTAAAGATTGTTAAGCAGAAGTAGTGAATGTAATGTGTTTTAAAAGAACCAATATGCTTACTCTTTAGCCAGACCCTTAGCAGTATAAATCTACCTTGCAGATTGTTTAGCATAAACTCAGAATTATTTATAAGATGGTATCTTTACCAAGGATCTAGGATGCCTGAACCCTGCCTTCACCAGTCAGCCAACCAGGGTGAATGTCTTGATAAGCTATTAATATAAAACAAATGTACTTTGATAAGCTATTAATATAAAACAAAGTACATTTGTTTTATATTAATAGCTTATCAAGACATTCACTCCGTTATCCACAGAGGATATATTCCAAGACCCCCCAATGGATGCCTGAGGCCGTGGATACTACCAAACTCTATATACCACTGTGTTTTTTCCTATTATACATACCTATGATAAAATTTAATTTA